TAAAGAATTATTAAAAAATTCAATGTTACAATCTGCCAAAAAGATTCAATACGGTAATAAGCTTGTTTGTCTACAGAGCGGTAGATATGCAAACTTAAACAAACAAAATATTCCATTAAATTTAAATATTCCGTTTTGTTCTTTCAGCATTTCTCATATTTATCAGCTGATGAAATGGGACATGACAACAAGTTCCGGGGGTAAAAACCGAATCCGGCGGCGCAAATGAGCGATTTATGCATGAGCCAATTAGATTTTTTGCCATATGCACATTACCTTGGAGGCTGTTGCTTCCGCTTGGCCAGAAATCGAAAAAAGAAAATAAATAATATAAACTCATGACGAGGCCAGTACACCTATACAGAAACAATTACAAACACTGATGCAACTCTCCTCTCCACTCTCTCTTCTTTTTCTTTTGTAGCCAAAAGGATAAAAAGAGTAGGCTTCAGAAGACGCACCCGAGAAGAGCGGAGAACGTTCTTCTGGGCCGAAGATTCAAGATTCTAATGGGAACAGAGGCAAATATTTGGGTGACGCAAACATAACCCAACTTACTCCCAAATCAATGAATCGTTATCTGTCCGCCCCTCTCTCAGTGTCTCACCCTCTCTCTCTCTTTTGCACTCTTTCCGTTTGTTTGTGTGTGCGTCGCGCCTGATGGACGAACGGTAAAATCCGCAAATTAAAAACAATTGATATCAAAAGTGTTTAATTGAATATGGTTGGGCATAAAAAACGGAGCACAAACACCAATGCAAGTGCATTATTCTAGATACGACGGTACATAGATACATATTCTTGAGGGCGCACACACCGACACACAAAAACATTAAGTAATATTTACTCAGCGAAAAAAACCCGATGAAACACAAATGGGGGGCGCGGGGCGAGGGCGATTCCAGAGGGCTCAACAACAACAACAAACACGCACATTTCACTATAGTTAAACAAATGTTGTCGCAAACAGTAAATACAATAAGAAATATCTCTTTTTGCCCAGGTTTTTAGCCCATTAGACCAAAGCGCTGTTCTAGCTGTCGCACTCGCGCACGCACTTGCCAGCGTAGTTGTCCCGCTCGCACTTACGCGCAGCAGTACGGCGCTTGGCCGTTGGAATTTACCAATATTCCAATATGGCGACGCAAGCCGCCGCTACTGTGCGAGCAAGAGGGTCCGACATGAATCATGCCCGTGCTCTCCCATTGGAAAGAGCGAGAGAGACAGATGCACGCAGCGAAGCACCATTTGCAAAAAAAATCGCTCGCATGCAATGACGAAAATTATTTTTATACCATCGCCCAAATTCGCATTTTGGGGGAAAATGGGCAAGGACCGGGCCTTACCTTGTCGCAGAGGGTGCGAACTTGTGTCTCTGTCAACTGATTGCATTCGTTCAACTGCTCAATCCATTGATCAAGATCTTTTGTTGTTGCTTTATCCTCCATCGCAGTTGTGGTGGAAGAAAAAGTCTCGTCAATCTTTGTCGATTCAATTTTGACGGCTTTTTTATAACTCGGGGGTGCAGGAAAATAACAACTTTCGTTGTATTCGATTGCCAGTCGCGATTTCACTAGTTTAGCCTCACACAAATGCCTGTGCCCAGTTGAATCAAGTCGATTCGGGCAATTTTCCTCGTATTTTTTGTTCACAAAAGCGACGACGACACGATATACGAAGGGAAAGACTGACTCGGTGTGACCGTTTGCGGATTGCCGCGGAACGAAAGAAACTTGGGGCGCCGTGTGTGTATCGATTAGTGAGGAGTCCATAAAATACTGAACCCCAAAGTTTTAAAGTTTTAAGCCCGAATTAAATTAATTTAAATAAACAGACCGCGAAATGAATTATCCATCACACGCAATGAGGTAAAGGAAAAAACTAAAGTTATCAGTAAAGGGATTTATGTCTTGTTTTGACTTAATTGTGTCGAATTGAATGTACGATTACCAGGGCGTGGGTAAATCGCTAAATAACGAATTTAGTTGAAGAAAACCTTTCTTTCTTTTCATTTGTTCTATTTATCTGTCCATGGATCCATGGATCCTATATTCACATATTATGAGATTGGGCATTTTTGCACGTTATAATTATAGAACTCTATTTATATAGATATTATTCTATCTATCTTCGGTATACACTTATATTAAAAGTCAAACAGAAAATATCATCTGAATAAAATTTGAATCATTCTGATTAGGAAATGATTGGAAGCCAAAGTTCACCAAATTTAGAAGTCAGAACTTAATAACTTGTATAACTTAACTGAATTTTAAAGTAATTTATCAAAAGCAAAGCATCTAAAAATACGATTTTTGAATAAATACGTCATTGCGAAAATTTACACATAATTACATCATTTCCTGAAAACATTTAAAGGTTTTGCTCTCTGTTTTTATATTGAAAAGATCTCTTTTAAATATTTCCTCTTTTGCGTCTCTAAGAACGAAAAACTTGAAAAAATTAGTTTACAGAATTTTACATAGTTAAACAAATATTAATTGAAAAATTGGAATTCTTATTTTATAACAGAACAATGTATCGATAGTCGTGACTTTTTCAACACTAATCTATGTCTGACAGTTGGGATCTTAACGAACACTGGAACCGGAACTGCCTCTTTTTCTGCCAGCTTGCAGCGCCTTTGGACGTGTTTCATCCGCGCTTCCTTGCAAATAAATATTGAATCAAGATGTCCGAGACTCTGCAATTGCGCGGTACCCTCATTGGCCACAATGGATGGGTCACCCAGATCGCCACCAACCCCAAGGATCCCGACACCATCATCTCGGCCTCCCGTGGTGAGTTATTTGTGCTTGGTGTTCTCCCCAAAAATCCGTCGAAATCTCGGGCATCCTTGATCGTTTATTAATGGAAACCCATCCGATTTCCAGACAAGACCCTGATCGTGTGGAAGCTGACCCGCGATGAGGACACCAACTACGGTTATCCCCAGAAGCGTCTCTACGGACACTCGCACTTCATCAGCGACGTTGTTCTGTCCTCCGACGGAAACTACGCCCTGTCCGGATCCTGGGATCAGACCCTCCGCCTGTGGGATTTGGCCGCCGGCAAGACCACCCGTCGCTTCGAGGGACACACCAAGGTGGGATAAGTTTCCAATTGAATTTAGTTCGTTCAGGGACTTGAGATTTTGCATACTCGAAACCGATTTGTACCGGCGACTGGCTGAAAAGTAAGGTTAGGAGTGAGGTTAGGAATCGCCTCGCCGCGTACAAATCGAAAAATATATATATATTGCGCCTATGCGAGGCAGAATTACTGGTTGACATCTGTACGTTCGCTTCTCCATTCGCCCGATTCTCGGCTTAAAATTGCTTGAAGCTCTCTCGTAAGTAGGCACATAATCATAGATACCCAATGATCTCAAATTACTTTTATTTATTATAAATGGAATGGTTTACCGACTGGTTGGATTGGTTATCAACTTTATGTGTTCAAAATGTTTTTTTTTTATTGATCAATCTCTACTTTTTTATCTAATCTTTCCCAGCCAACACAAACTTTTTTTTAAAGTAAACTTTATCTTTTTCTTATACTTATTTTAAAGGAAGAAATGATGCCTTCGAATCTGTTTTAGAACAAATTTAATTTCTTGAGCATTTTCGTTAATTGGTAAAACATGTTAATATTTTAAATTAGTCCAATCAGGCGGTGCCAATCCCAAGTTCTTTATATTTATAAAACGCCACCATTGCCATCAAATAATCGTGAAATATTTATTCGCTTTTAGGACGTTTTGTCGGTTGCCTTCTCGGCCGATAACCGTCAGATCGTGTCCGGCTCTCGGGACAAGACCATCAAGCTGTGGAACACCCTTGCCGAGTGCAAGTTCACCATCCAGGAGGATGGCCACACCGACTGGGTGTCGTGCGTGCGCTTCTCGCCCAACCACTCGAACCCGATCATCGTGTCCTGCGGCTGGGATCGCACCGTGAAGGTCTGGAACTTGGCTAACTGCAAGCTGAAGAACAACCACCACGGCCACAACGGCTACCTGAACACCGTGACCGTCTCGCCCGACGGCTCCCTGTGCACCTCCGGTGGCAAGGACTCCAAGGCCCTCCTGTGGGACTTGAATGACGGCAAGAACCTGTACACCCTGGAGCACAACGACATCATCAATGCCCTGTGCTTCTCGCCCAACCGCTACTGGCTGTGCGTCGCCTACGGACCCTCGATCAAGATCTGGGATCTTGCCTGCAAGAAGACCGTCGAGGAGCTGCGCCCCGAGGTCGTCTCGCCCACGTCGAAGGCCGACCAGCCCCAGTGCCTGTCCCTCGCCTGGTCCACCGACGGCCAAACTCTGTTCGCCGGCTACTCCGACAACACCATCCGCGTCTGGCAGGTGTCCGTCTCGGCCCACTAAGCTTCTGACCATTGTACTGGGCGCCAAATTGTTTGTTTAACTCAAAACAAAAATAAAATTTAAGCGTCCGCAATTCAAAAGAAACATGTCTATTTTGTAGTGGCTTAGTTTTAGTATTTATGTTGGGAAGGTAAAAGGCCTTTTAACGAAGGAATGCTTTTAAAAGGTGAGATAAAGTAACAAATCTTACGATTATGTAATTGCGTACTGCAGGATTTTTTAGTTAAGGAAGAGGATGTAAATGTCAATAAAAATAAGTATATTTAAAACAATTGGTTTACTTTTTGTTGAAGAGATTTGCTTTAAATAATATAACATCTCCTAAAAAGATGTAACACAGGAAAGGATTTTCGGGCTCTAGGAAGAATTATGTATATATTGTTCTTTATGAATCAGAAAGACCATACGAAACTAGCTTTTTCGTCTTCAAAATTTGATTCAATGCATAAAATAGTTACCAAGCATCTTTAGTTAAAACAATATTTTATATCGTTTACACATCTTTCATATTATTTTCTTTCTAATAAGAACGGGTATTTTTTTATTTTTGTCTCATAAATAGAATATGCAGACTCCCTCCCCTTAGATTTATTAAATTAATAAAGACGCATTAAAGGATTTAAGTAGCAAAACGAAATCTTCGCATTCCGAATGCCTTGTTTTATTTGCAAAAACATTTTGATAAGTAAGAAAATGTTTTTATTTTACAAGTATAACAAATAAATTAAATAAATAGTTACGTTTGATGATGTTTCCTTGACTGTGTCAATGACTGTGATGATGTTCGGGTGCGATTTGGAAAAACAAAGTGCACGGCAATGTGGCGGCGTATGCAAAAATATTTGTTCTACAAAACAACATGGGCTAACAAACAACCTTAATTAATATCTAGACAGATGAGAAACGCCATTCCAAGTGATGTATGCATGTGTGTCTGGGATGAATGAACGTTGCCTTTGGATAAGTAACAGAAAGACAAAAGTATTTAGCAAAACGCCTAACTAGAAATTTTGGGCACTTTTGTTTGTTTTTTCTTTGGGAGGAGGAAAATTTTCGGGGGAAAAGCTGAAGAGCATTTCTTAGTAGGCACTCTTGTGGTTCGTATCTCATTTGGTTTTGATTGAATTCGAACGTTGCACGACTGCAGGCGCAACTGGTTGAGATTTGGCTGGGACTTTTAGCGATTCATCTCCCGCTTTTCCCGCTGAGCTGCCAATCTTATAGACGTCGTTCTTGAAGACTATCACCAGTACGGTGATATTGTCCACGGAACCACGTTTGTAGGACTCCATGGCCAGCGATTTGGCTCCAAAATCGGACTCCTTCAGATGCTCCTGCACAAAAGTGCAGGCCTCCTCATTGCTGAATGTGTCCCAGAGACCATCAGAGGCCAATATCAGAAAATGGGGCCTATAAATAAATCAAATGTTAGTTATACGTCTAAATTACTTGCTCAAGTAGGTCAAATCATTTTGTAAACATAGGCCTGCATATAATTTAAAGCGATTTCACTCACTTGTGATCATTCAGTTCGAAGGTCAAAATGTCCGGCGTAGCAATCACCAGATTCTGTAAGCGCGCGGTTAACAATAAAATCAAGATTAGACTGGCAAGTAACCCATTGGGATCGTCCCACTTCCTACCTTATCTTTTAGCGGATAATCGCCGAGAGCACGTGACGTGGCCAACACCCCGGCCACGCGCCAAACGCCTCGAAAGGCAATGAAACCGCCTGCATCGTGGATCCTCTTTCGTTCCCGCACCTGCTGCGGCTTGTGATCGAAGGAAAGGGGAATGGCAATGCCACGGAAATCGTACATGACGCCGCGGGAATCGCCCACATTGGCCACAATCAGCTTGGATCCTTGGACAATGGCTATCAGGGCGGTGGTGCCCGCAATATTGGTCTGCAAGAAAATACAACACTCTTTAGTTCAATGGCTTCTGAATCTGTATTAACCACTCACCGCTCTTTTGGCCTGCTCCACCAATTTATAGTCGGCCGTCATGATCTCGTCCGTGATCAGTTTGCCAAAGTTGATGCGTCCGTTTTCAATGTAGCACTTGGCTTCGTAGTTCGGAGGTGGCGCATTGCCTGCCCCACCATTTTGGGCGTTGTTATTATTATTGAGGAACGTGTCCTTGGCGGCTCCCACATTTCCACTTGCCCTCATCGCCGAGTTCAACTGGGCCGTGTAAATATCGGCGATTGATGCCTCAGTTGTCTTTTGTTTGATGGCACTGCAATCCGCCGTGGTGCTGATGGACTTTCTCAAACTGTCCTTTCGTGCCACTGCTGCAGTGGGTTCTGTGTTCTCTTTGTTTGACTCCTTGCGGCTCTGTTTGCGAGCCAAGTAGGGACTCTTATCGTAATCGCTGGAAACTCCTTCGGTCTTCAGCAGCTTAGTCGTCTCGATGATTTTGTTGTAGATGTTCTTCACCAGCACATCCTTGGCAAAGTCCGCGGCAAACTCCCCGCCGTGACCGTCGAAGACAGCAAAGAAGGAAATGCCTGTGTTGTTGTTAATGTTCTCCTCGATGATAAACCTAAAAAATAATTTTTAAAGATATTAGTCTGCTTTCATATAGTTAGCTATTGTAAGAAATCTTTTTATTGGTAGATAATTCGACTACTTATGTGGCTACTTTTGTGTTAGTTTAACAAAGAAAATCATCTATTTAGAAAAACAATATTGAACAATTTTGAGATTTCCCCAAGATTTATTTATGTCTCTGAATGTATCTCATTTTTGGAACTTAATTTGCCAAATTCGACATATGGAAAAGATTAATTGGGCTATAAAAACGTTGCAATACTATTTGAAGAATGTCGACTTTTATAATTAGTTTTGTCTCTTTGCCAAGATTTTATTTGTCAATAGTAAATTCAAATTAAATGACAAATTCAATATTAAATGCTTTCTTTGATTTTAAGATACAGTTAAACATTTAAATAATGTCTTGAATGTATTTTGAATGTACAATAAGATTCTAAGAGCATTTAAATGGTACAAATGAGCTTGACTTTGTATATCGTTCTTGTTAGTGGACCAGCGGTTCTTACTGACCTATCCTCCATCCTGGGCCTGCGTCCCAGGACCGCGAAAGCAGAGCTCTGCTGCTTCAGCTCCTCCCAGCTCTGGTGGTCTCCTGCACTAGCAGACATCTCCATCATCTTTACCGCCTTCTGGCGTCCAAGTGTGGCCTGTATGCGTCCTAGAATGCTGCGACTCCACACATCTACCGCTTGCAAATAGAGCAACAGGACAAATAGGATCATGCCACAGAAGATGACTTCTGGGCGCAGGACATACAGGCGGCACAGCTTCCATATGTACGCCAAGGGGGAGTTGATGGACGAGAAGCCCACCGCAAACTTGGACAGGATTTTCATGTGCGATACGTATGTCTGATAGAACACCTTGTCTTCGAGTTCGTCGTCCATGGGAAATGCCGGTGTATCGCTATTCTCTGTTGGCGTTCGATTTCTGCTCTGCCAATGATTTTCAAGTTAAACGCATGCGAGACTGTCAGCCGTGATTGTGGGTGGGTGTCAATGTGTTCGAGTATATGCAAGAAATAAAAAACAAATTTTAAATAAACAACAAAGGGGTTGGGCTCTCAATATGCAAGACTTTCCCGTTTAAAATTCTTTGAAACTTGGCGGAATCGGAAGCAATATAAAATCGCATTTTTCGTTGTTCAAGTTTTATGGTTTCAAAGACCTTTCCTTTACACAAATTTTAAATTTTAAGAAAATCAATAAAGGTTCAAGTGTTTTTAGAAAGCCCAAAGATTATCTCATGGTAATTTATAAATAATTAATTGATCTAAAAGAATGATTTTAAGTTTTTAAAATGTATAATTTTCTAATTAATGGTAAATTATTTGTTGTACCTTTTACGTTTGTATTTAGGCTGGGGTTAGGAAAAAAGGTTTTACTATATTATTTGAGACACTTTTTGGGTTTAAATATAAATACGATTTTATGTTTTATACGCGACCATGATACAAGGGATTACGCTTCAACATATTTTTAAAATGTATCTTTTACTAGGTCCTCTATATACAATAACGAAAATATTGTAAAATTTGTCCACTTATTTTTGTGCTTGACTGCATCTGTGTAAATTCCGACACGGCCTAATTTCGATTGGAAAGGTTGCAGATTGCTTGCAAAATGTAAATCCCAGTCCATTTGGGGGAAAACGTACTCTGGGGAAAAGCACTTGACGCTGCACGTCAGATGTCGTTTTATTTTTATTTTTCCTTTTTTTTTTTTTTTTATTATTACCGCTGCCGACGATGTTCCCGTTATTTTGTTCGTCGTTCGCCTTTGTCGTTCCCTTTCGTTTTCGCCGAGTCCCTTTTCTGCGTTTACAGACGCTCTTTCTTTATTATATTTTTGGCTATTCGGATATTCTTATTTTATTTTAAAAATAAACTCAGTTTCTTGCATAAAATCAGAACATCCGCACTTTGTGCTGATGTGTGTGACTGCTCTATATACGTATGCACGTCGCACATCTGCCTCGCGCGTATGTGTGTGTCTGCCCGCACGGATGTCGCAATAAATAAATAAATAAGTATATTTTTTCCACGCACTGCAACTTGAATTTTGCTAATAACAATGCCGAATAAAACCGCGACGCGTCCGCCTTTAATTAAAATAGAACCCGAAACTTGTTGAGATTTCAGCTGAAATTGATGACATACGTTTCGGCTGCGAAGTATCGATAGGCTAATGCGGATTAGGCTTATCGATAGTCAGAAGGGATACTCTTTTCCCGAAAAGCTTACACGAATCTTTGTTAAACAAGCTGAGAGCAGGAAAAACTTAAAATTGTGATGATTTTAAAAGCATTTTCTAGACTTTCCGCATTACCTTGACCTTTGGGTTTGGGGTGGGCTTCTCTGTAACAGAACCAATCGCATTATTCGAATTCAAACTATGGATAAATACCTGCCGAACTCCTTATTGATCCTTTATAACGGCGGTCCATTCAAATCAACTTCCAGTTTAATATTAATTGCGCTCTTGGACCAATGAAAAATTATGAAAAATATTGGACGAAAATTGAAAACAAAAACAAGCAGCACGCGACGCGCAGAAGAACTAAAACAAAACGGAATAAAATGACAATGTTTATGGCAGCATAAGAACTAACACCACTAAACACTACACACAGTAAAATGTTCTAAACATCTACTTTTTTTAAATTTAAATATTTTTTATTCATACAAAATTTGAAAAGAAAGTTTCACTCAGAATAATTACAATTTTTAGGATTCAATTCATATTATTTTTTAATTAAATGGAGGAATGAGGACCCATGAAATATTCTAAAAATAAATAAAAATAAAATCAAATTAGGTGTAACGAAACCCAATAAATAAATTTAACTGCTTTAAAAAAAACATTTTCAAAAAGCTCAACTGTACTACTAAAATACTCTCACCTGTCGCTCTCTATTAAAGCATCCATTTTGTTTTTCTCTCATTTTCGAAATTCAAACGAATACAAGACATTTCCACATTTAAGTAGTTTTATTTAATTACATTAATTGCATTACAAAATGGTAATAGGAGTAGTGTAAGAAAAACTTAGCTCAGTGTACACATTAAAAATGAAGGCATCGATTTCTTTCGCTCAATTTTTAAAATTAACATTGCAGTGTTGGTTTTCGCTTAGAGTACAAAACGTAACGGTAACTTAACAGTGGTTACATAATAACTGTTGCCTTCCTAGTTGTTGCTGTTGTAGTTGTTTATTTGATTCTCGTAGTTCGCAGTTTGCTTATTTGTTCATGAATATGGCATTTAAAATGGCCGCGCAGAGAAATCTGAAAATAAATTAAAAATTTAATAATATTGCGAAATAGTTTTATAATAAATAGTTTTATCCAGAGTTAGCTTTGTTTAAAAAAAATTAAAATGTGGATCATGCAAATTAACCAGAACATGGTTATAACGTTAGTTTTTACATTGATATAAGAATTTAAGTATTGTTTTTTTTTTATTAGTGAATATAAATAAATTTTATCGAAGCAAAAGTTTATAACAAGTTAATATTGATTTTTATGGAAACCCTATATTAAAAGAATTTTGAAGACACTTTGAGTTGATTTTTAACCACTCCAACATGGCATTTAAACCTCCTTATTACACGCAAACTTTGTTGACATGTATTTCTAAGGTATTTGAAACCTTATAATTTAATATATGTATAATATAATAATAATAATAATAAAAGAATCGTTTTCTTACTTTTCTCGATCTACGTGTAGCACTGCCTGTAGTGCGACGCCCGCTCCTTAATATGTGAGTTGTACTTGACGAGCAGATCGTTCAAGGGGGCAATCTCGTCCTGCAGCTGGAGCAGCTGCTGGTTTTTGCTATGGTAGACGGTCTGCAGATCGTTCAGGTCCTTCAGCTTGGCGTTGGTGTCAACGGTCAGCTTGGAGGCCCTCTGGAGGAGCTGCTTGGCTCTTTCACGAGCGCTCTCGGAGCGACTTGCTCGATCTGTGAGGGTCTGGTTGGTGGCGCTCGTTGCCGACTGCAGATTGTTAGCCTCTCCGCGGGCCCTCATGGCCTCCAGTTTGACGCGACCCGCCTCCTTGGTGATTTCCTTGGCGTCGCGATCGTTCTTCACAATATTGTTCTGCAGACGCTGAACCTTCTTGGCCAATTCCTCGACCTGCTGGGCTGTGTTGTTGGCCGGAGCCTCCGCGGAGTCCGTCTCTTCATCGATCTTCTCCAGATCCTGGCCGGCGAGCTCAATATTGCTGTTGGCCTGCTGAATGGCCTCCTGGGCTTTTCCCTGCGACTCATCTGCCGCCGCTAGATTCTCCACCACCGATTTGGCGTCGTCCAGGATTTTATTGGCCTTTTCTTTCGTGACATTGGCAGTGCTCTGCAGGTTATTGACCCTGTCCAAATCTGGTCTAGTCTTGTAGATAATGGACTCCACATTCTTCAGCGATGAGACAGCGTTGTTGATCTGCGCTCCCAGAGACTCAATCTCTTTGGGTTCCAGTTTCAGATCCAAATCCGAGAGTCTCCTGTGCCAATTGCTTGCTTTCTGCCGGGGAAGCTGTCTTGTTCTCCTGGAAATCGTTGACGGCTGTGAAAAGATCTTCAGCCAGTTTGATGTTGGCATTGGTTTGATTCAAGTAACGCTCGGATTGCTCGAAACCCCTCTTGGCTTTCTCGTACGCCTCGGAGGCATTCAATTTGGCCTGGGTGAGTGCCCTAATAGTTTGATCTGCTTGATCTTTCTTCAGGGTGATGGCTGCCTCGGCATCCTTGGCTACTTTAAGAGCTTCTACTGCGTGAGTCTTGGCGCCGTGTTCGCAGGACAGGAATCCACCGCAATGGCCACATCCTGCTCCTCCGCACAAACTATCGCAGGGATCGCCTGGCTTGCCGCAAACCTGGTTGTTAAGCTCGGGAATTTGAGAGGTCAGCGATGTCAACTCATCGCGATAGTCGGCAATACTCTTGTCGTTGTTGGCCAATCCCTCTGCCTCGGCTTGGATTTTGTTCGAAAGCGTTTCGACTCTCTTGCAATTTCTGTCCGTATTGGAGGCCAGTTCATTGGCTTCGTCCTTGAGGGTCGACAGATTGCTAACCCTCTCGTAAGCGTGGCGTGTAAGGTTCAAAGCTCCCTCGATATTCGACTCCTGCAGTTGAATGCCGTTTTCCTTGAGTTCCTTGGACAGTTGCTGCACCAACCTCGAGTGGTTCTGCAGACCCTCCAGTTCAACTCCCGACAAACTCAGCGAGTTGTAGATGTCATCGAGATTTCTTTCGGTTTCGCTCAATCTGCCATGAGAAGCCTGCAGCTGCTGCCTGAGGGTATTGGTCTCCGAATCCAGCCTCTCGATGTCCACCAGACTGACTGAGGTGTTCTGTAGCAGGTTCCTGATGTGCTGCAGTTTCTTGTCCAGTTCGCTGAACTCCGATGTGTAGGCTCCTGTGGCTCCCACTTGCTTGATTTCCTTGGCTCGCAGGATAGTGGCTGCGGTAGAGTCTTCCAGGGCACTCAATATCAAGTCCCAGTTGTTGAAGCACTCGCCACAAGGCGAGCAGTGCGGGAATTGACCAATGTAACCCCGAGCGCACTCGTTGCACTTGTAGCCACCGATGCCCTCGTGGCACACACAATGACCCGTCTCCCGATCGCACTGGAAGTCGGCGGCTCCGAACTGATCGCACTCGCAGGGCTGGCACTTCTCGTTGGGATTGCCCCAGTAGTGAGCCTGGCACTGGTTGCACGCCCTGCCTCCGAATCCTGGCTTGCACTGGCACTGACCGGTGTACGAGTTGCACTGCTCGTGGAGAGCTCCTATGGGATCGCAGTTGCAGCTCTCGCATCCCTCGCCGGAGGCAATCTTCCAGTGGTTCAGGGCACACTGATCGCATCGCACACCCTCCACGTTCGGCAAGCAAGGACACTGACCCGTGAAGCGATCGCAGTGACCAATGGTCTTGTTGGTTCCCAGGAAGTCGCATTCGCACTGCTGGCAATTCTGCTGCAAGGCATCCCCGAAGAATCCATCCCTGCAGAGCTCACAGTGATCTCCGGTCGTCTGGTACAAGCATTTAAGACAAGCTCCCGTCTCGCGATCGCAGTTTCCTGTGTCGTAGACATCGATGTTGTTGCTGCACTCGCACTTCGAGCAGGTTCCCCCGTTGTCCGGCACTCCGAAGAAGTTGTCCGCACAGATCTCGCAACGAGATCCCGCATATCCTTCCTGGCAGTGGCACAGCATGTTGTTGTTCCGCGTGTCCAGGGAGCAGCCATCCGCATGGGCCATTCCACTGGCCACCGTCTCAGGACAGCGGCAGGGTCGGCATCCGATCTCGCTGCCGAACAGCGGGTTTCCGTAGTATCCGTCCAGGCAACTGTCGCAGCTGAAGCCCGTCGTTGAGTCCTGGTGGTAAAAAGAAACATAGTTGTAATGTAAAACTTCAAACAGTGAAATAAGTCTTCAGTTTTTGAAGCCATTGAAAAGAAGGTTCTGTTTTTAATAAGTACTCAACGTTGTTTTTAATAAAACTTTGAAAACGATTGCAAATTGTTAAATGCTCTTAGTTACTTTGTTAGTAAGTCTGTTTGATTTATATTGAATTCTAAATGCATCCTTCTAATAAGAATCTTCTTATTTGTAATTCTTATAGCCTCTTTCCTTACCTGACAATCCAGACAGGTTCCACGGATGGGATCGCACTGCGCCGCGTGACCGTTGCACTCGCAAACCCGGCAGTCGGGGAAGTTCCAGTACCCCGGCTGGCACTGGTTGCACTCCCTTCCGTAGGTGTTCGGCGCACACTGGCACTGGCCGGTGATCAGGTCGCAGTTCTTGTCCATCGAACCGATGCTGTTGCAGTCGCAGGCCTTGCAGCCCTCGGGTCCGAAGCCGTAGGTGCCCGGGGCACACTGGTCGCACTGCCTGCCCACCACGTTCGGTTTGCACTGGCAGTAGCCTCCGTTGGACTCGCACACCTTACTCAGCGATCCCGTGGGGTTGCAATTGCACATACTGGCTCCGTCGTGGACGTAGATGCTCACAATGTTGTCCAGGTGCTGGCACCTCTGATCAGTCTTGTAGTTCATGTCGTACAAGGAGTAGTTGCAGTTGTATCTCTCGTAGTCCTTCCTGCGAATGTCGGCCAGTTCGGAACCTTGGAAGATGGGCGTCACATCGATGCGGGGAATGAGTGTCAGGGAGTCCACGAGGATAGTGGCAGTGGGACTGTCTCCGTCGTGACGCCTGCGCTCGAAGTAAATTCGGAACTTATAAACCTTTCCGGCCTCCAGGCAAACTTCATTCAACGCCACCACCTGGCGATTGCGATCGGGCAGGGAGAATGGAATCCTGGTCTCCGAAGAACTGGCAGCCGCCAATTCTCCACACTCTCCATTGGGATCCACTTGGTCGGGCCTCACCAACGTGATGAAGGCATCCTCCCAATCTCCGCGAGAAGTGGTCTGATAACGAATAACCACATCGTATGGCATGGATCGGGGAATATCGCCGACGGTGAAGACGATTTCTGAGTTCTCAGGAACCCTGGTGAAACCGATGCCCGTGAAGCTGCCATCCGGATTCTCAGCCACCAGGCTGCAGTTTCCATTAGGACCATAGGAAATGCACTCGTCCACCACCTCGGCCTCGTGGACTTCCGTGAGCAGGGGAATGAAGTAGTTCTGTTTCGGCTGCGAACAAGATCTTCCCGTCATGTGGGGTCTGCAGCGACATTGCCCACTGATCACATCGCAGTAGTTATCGTAGGAACCTCCAGCATCGCAGTTACACAGAGAGCAACCCTCGGGAGATTCCGAGAGACCATAGGTCTCCGGCATACATTGATTACAGTCCTTGCCCGTGACGTACTGCTTGCACTTGCACTCACCGGTGCGCATTACGCAACCGGAATTGTTCACGGTGCCCAGGATGTTGCAAGTACAGGCTTCGCATCCCTCGGGATTATTGGGGTTAAGGTTCCAGTAGCCATCCTTGCATTCATTGCAACGACGTCCCTTGACGAAGGTCTTACAGTGGCAAGCTCCGGCTATGGCTCCGTTCTCCGGATCGTTTACAGAGTCGCAGATGCCGTCATCCAACGAACCATCGGGATCGCAGTCACAGGGCTGGCAAACGCTATCCGATCGGATGTCCTGCTCGGGATCGCGGTAGAAGAACGGCATGCACTCCTCGCAATGCTGTCCCTGGGTATTGTGTAGGCAATTGTCGCACACTCCGCCGGAAACCAATCCGGAGGCGGTGAACACGGCCTCGTCGAAGTGACAACTCACGGCGTGGTCGTTACACTCGCACTTCTTACAGGCATTCGTCTTCTTTCCAAAGGCCGGTTTCCACGGCAGATCGTTGAAGAAGTCTTCGCAGTACTCGCAGTTCATTCCCTTGGTGTTGTGGGTACATTCACAGCGACCGTGCACCATGCCATCCTCATTGTCCGCCTGCGTGAAAGTGGGATCCAGTGGCAGGCACTGGGAGGCGTGACCGTAACAGGAACACGATCCTCGAACCACCATGTTCGAGATGCCGTAGTAGTACTTCTCCTCGTTCTCCAGCCTGCTGTCCAGTAGATTGTCGCCCAGCTTGTGCAGCTTGGTCATGTGAATTCGGAGATTCGTGATCTTCAGTTGGTTCTGCACGTGCTCCGCATACGGATCCGTCACATTGATGTTCGGAGGCAGCACCCTGAAGATCACCTCGCCATTCCGCGAGGGCTCCACGGAGGAATACCTCGATGTGCACATCACATCGGTGATGTTCACCAGGACAGTTGGCACTCCCGGGAAGGATTCCTTGCAGTCGTAAGCGAAATATCTGTACACATGCCACGTCTCGCCAAAGTCAAAGGATCTCTCGATGTACATGGCCGCGGGTCGGAAGGTCGTAAAGGTTATGATCAAGTGGGTAAAGTGGAACTCCGCCTCGAGATCCAATTGAATGGTGGCATTCTCCTTGCCATTCTCCGATTGCCACCAGGTGGGCAGATTGGTTCCCGGCTTCGTCTTGTAGATGATCTGTCCAATGCGATGGTTCTTGTAGGGATCGTGCTTGGTCTCCTCCCGCGTGTCGCAGAGGAAGCACTTCTTGTCCTGCAAATGGGACAGGATGCAGAATCGCTCCGGCGAGTGGAGACCACAAGTGGAGCTGGCAGTTAGTCGGTTCTCCCTGCCGATGAGGAGATTACCCGTTGCCGGGTAACACGAGGACCTCTCGCAGGGATGCGTCTTGATGAACTTGTTTGGCGGATACTTCGGACGGTCGCGTCTTCCATGCTGGGGCGGTCTTTGGGAATCCACTGGGCCCAACTGGCCGACGAGCAGGCCGAGCACAATGACCACGATAAGCCGCAGTTCCAGCATCTCGATCTGGCTCTCTCTCTGTGTTGTTGGGGTCGCGTTCCACTGGGCACTTCCGGCCGGGACTTTAATCAGTTTCTTTCTTTTCGTTCGTTTTTGTGGGGATCTCTTACACTCAGCCACGTGATCCTCCCTGGAAAAATCTATAAAAATGTAATTAAGAAATTAATTTAATTTGTTCAGTAGAACTTCAAAAAGGTTTGGTGAAACCAGTACTTTGAGCAATTTAAAAATCAAAATGTGAACACACAATTAGTTTTCTTATCAGAATTAAAACGAAATTTTCTTATAAAGTAAAAAAAAAAAATTTTTTTTTAAATATAGATTGTTTTGATAAATGTATGATGCAAATTTTTATAGAAAACTTTTACACTTTTAAATAAATAAAGACAACATGTAAGAAATAACTTTTTTACTTACTTGACCACTTCTTCTTCTTCCCTTCCTTTTTGTCAATTTTTATTCGTTCATGCTGTTAATTTTCAACATAACCCGCAGCTGAAAGAAACAATATATTCTTTATTAGTTATATTCGTTTCGTTTTAATGTTTAGCCACTAAACAAACTCCTCGTTTTTGCCCTCACTGTGAACTGCTTATCAGCCGAGATGCTCTAATTTTCAACAAAACAAAAGCAGAAAAATCAGATTTATTTTCGTCTCGTACCAATAAAAAAAGGCATCCGCGCCCAACGAATCTTACGCACAAACTGAGGTCTGAGTCTTGAACTGAAACTGAAACTGAAAATGAATGGATCCCATTATCGTCAATGCGACTACTCGCATGCTATAGTACCGATAATGTTAATGTTTTATTCGTTGTTGCCTGGTGCGTTGGATCTTCGTTTTATCAGTTTTCACTTATAGTACGAGAGACTCTCAAATAAGAACACTTGCTGGGATTTCAAGTTTGTTTAATAAGTTATATTTTAAGGGGAGCGTTTAAAAGTAAAACGAGTCAAATCGCTAATTTTAATTACGAATAAAATAAAGAAGAAGTTCCTTATATAGGATCTGATTTAATTTCCTTTTACGTAAAGATTCTCAACTTCAAATCAATAAAATTTTTGGTTTTTGTTTAAATTGAAATAATATTTTTACTTCAAAAGAACATGTTAAAACAAAATCCTTAAAATAGAGAATAGTTTATATGACAAGGGCCCTATTAAGACCAACTACGTAAATATGTACAATATGTACAACCAATCAGGTACTAATAATTCCCAGACCTCATTTTTTAAAATTCCCAAACCTGTCGTTCTAAAGCCATTGGTCTTTATGTTCTTATCAGAAGATCCCGCAACGGAGGCAGGGGAAAGTCAAGTCGAAATCGAAAACTGTGCTGAGAGTCGAAAAGATAAGCCACCAAAGTTTTCAAGCGCCGCCGGCCAATCCAAACACAATTTCTAGACCCAAACATTAAAACGCTCCCGGTTCTAAAAATACATATTTCATAATTTCAACTGGCCCGATAAGAGTTCATTCACAGATACTGTTCCTGTTCCTTTAGAGCTCTCCACTGGGAACTTTACTATACTCCACTCTTAATTACTTTGTGGGGGTTTTAATTTTTTTGTTTGCTATTTGTCCGATGGTTAATTTCGTTTTCGTTCGCTTTGCCGCCGAGGAAACTGGCAAATAAACAAATAAGCAAAGAACAAAACGTAAATTTACCAGGCATACAATGTATGTATGTATGAGTTTGTATGAGCGGGCAAATAATGGAGCGGCAGTGGAGCGCTCCACGATTCTCGACTTCATTCGGTGTGTATCTTAGTGTGGGGGTCTGTATATATAAGTATGTATTTTGAATTCGTACAGATGACTTTTTGTATGTCTATGGCCAGTTCATAAAAATTTGCTCACACAATTGCTGGGGCTCATGTTTTCTTAGTTTCGCCGGGAGATGATGTTTATATTTCCAATTTCATCAAGGCGCACAGCTTATTTGACCACATTAATACCAATATGACTTCATACAGTGATCAATGGAAATATGAAATATTTTATTAGATTTTTTAAGAATAACCTAAAGGAAATTCTTCTGTGATTCCGCAATGAATTCATGGAATTTTAAAAGGAATAACCCGCTGTTAAGTATTATTTTATCTTGCTTACAGATTATTTCTCAATAGAACTAAAACTTTACGAAACGAAATCTTTCTTTGCCACTGACCACTGTTTGTGTGTACTGTAGACATATGCACCATTCCATCGCCAACCCCAGCCCCGAATTTCAATTCTCAGTCTGGAGCACACATGTTGTGGAAGACTAACGTCTAAGTATGAGATCAGCCTGCGATAGTCCGGCTATAATTAGACCCCCAACGACTAAATCCTTTCTACCCACAGTCCGCAATCCAATCTAGATAAATTAATTCGTCGGCTGCACATCTGCTTCAAGGCGACAGGCCCGGCTCACATTTTAATTAGCCAGTCCCATTGTCACTGATATAAAGAAAATCAGCTTGGCAATGCACTTTTTGCGTCCACATGCAGTCGTTGGGTTGCCGCCGCATGGCATCATGTTTCTATATGTAACGGGTATGTTTGCTTAATCTACAAATATGCTCTAGCCAAGTCATCGTACATTTATAGTTTTCTTTGCCTTTTGTGACATGAAGTCACTTTTGGACAGATAAGAAATTAGAGATTTGCGATTAAATCCTCTGAGTGCAATAAAAATAACTTTTAACCAAAAGTTCAAATTCAAACCCATTTCAAATATTCCGAAAAATTGTACAATGCTTTAGAACTATTTTTATAAAAAAAAAAACAAAAAACAAATTTATTTGTCAAAATATATAAACATTTAAAAAAAATTAAATTGTATATAAAAATCACATAATTTTTTTTAACTTTTTCTTCTTTGGTTTCTAATCCCTTTTAACTAAAACATAAAGAAAATCTTAAGTGAAACTCTGCAAAACTGTTTTGCCCTTTTTGACTCTTTGGGAGTTATCTCGAGTTTTAAGCACACATAAACAGAGAGACGATAAAAAGCGGCAGTATGCCACAACAACAACAAAAACATCAACAGCGGATGCGAAGGAGGAGAAAAATAGAAGTACGCAAGTAACAACAAAAACAGGCCACAAGATAACCTCAAGAAAGAGAGGGAGAGATAGACAAGGAGCGATGGAGAAGGGGAGACTGCAGCTGTTGAAAAACTGCGTAAAACTCCGCGTGGATCCAACTATCTAACTGTTAATCTATTCTATGAGGTTTCACTACTTACCGCAATTTTTTGAAGCTACAGATCGTGCATCTATATCTACTCCTTCGGCGATGACTGGATGTGAAGTTCCAAAAAATGAAAATTTCTGTTATACAGACAAAACAACAAACACACGACTTGGGTGTTTTTATTTTTGTTGATGCGGCAAACACTTTTCAACTTCTTTTTATAAACTCCACACACAGCACACTCACATACACACACGCTCGCGGCGAAGATGTTTTCCAAGACAATCGGAATAAAAATTCCAAGAGTTGGGGCGGCGAAACTGGGGACCGATTCGATCCGTGCCGACTCCAAAAACGTCTGATCGCGAGAGATCCAAAATCGAGAATGAGTCCACAAGTGAGTACCACAGTGGAGGATGAAAACTTCAGTGGAAATCGTACTCGCACATACCCTTCAATCTCAGCAACATGGTAGAGTATAAGGTAGTATCGTCGGCTCCGTCAGTCTGTTATTGGTAGAATAAGTAGAAACAGTAAGTACTTATTCTATCATGAGTCCGTTCACTATACTTACGGTGAATGCAACAAGTGATCCCGAAGACTACGAGAGAGAGAGAGAGAGAGAGAGAGAGAGAGGAAGAAAGAGAGCGAATAAAAAAACAGCCAGAGCGCGAGAGAGAAGATTTGTACCTCATTATCTCTTGAAAATATAGGTGCATACATAAATATTTACATAGAAATGCACTCTGTTAAATTTATCTATGTAAATAACAGAGGTTGTACATTAGATGTAAATAAAAAAAAAAGGATAAATCGTTTTTTTCGAAAATTTACTCATTAATAGTTTCGAATTCTTCGGCTTAACCAAATTCTAAAAACTAGCTAAAAACTACAATTTTCTTACCATTTTAAAATAAACGATGTTGGTCCTAATCTAATAAGAAACAGCATTTCGTCGTGTGCCTGCGCTTAAATTAAATAGAAATGCAAATTAAAGTAGTTACGTAATTCCTAAAAAGTTTTTAGCTTATTCAACTAGCTACATTTATTATTTATTTTAATTAGATTTAGAATTTCCACCGAATTAGTTACAGAAAGTTTTTGGGTCTTAAAATATGTTTTTAGATGGAATGGGTAGCTTTTTTATATTTTCTTCCTCAAATTTTTATGGGCTTTTTTAACAAGATCTTAAAAAAATGGTGTATCACGAAACATTGTTATACTTTTTATATCGAAGCTTAAAGTTTTAACGGGCTACAAGCCACAAATATGCCCGTATCGTTGTACGGTAAAAATCCATACTTCTCCAAATGTAACGGAAAAGAGAGAATATAATAAGAATTATCGATAGCTTGACTTGCCAGCACTAAAAAGAGGGGCTAACATCGCGCTCATAACGCTCCCAAATTTCCAACTGCTCGAATCGTTGGGCTCCACTCCGGAACCTGAAAATACATAAATCGCCGGGAAACAAAAATTACAATGATATTTTTGGCGTGAAAAACTATTTTGAAGTTTTGGAATTATAGCGGTTGAAAGCTTGTCCACTTAGTGCGTATTTTCCGTTTTTCGTTAAGATATTTGAATGGAAGAAAAGTGCAAAAGCTCGTGTTGAGAATGTTGTCAACCTAAAAAGACAGAGACAGACAGACACAAAATTCGATGTGGAATATTCGCTGACAAAATTCGTTCAAAAACCGTACAAAAAAACACTGATAGTCCACAGAGTTAAATTCGTCCAAATTTAAAAGTGTTATGCAGAGTGTGGTGTGGGTGTTATTAGCTGCTGCTGCTGTTGCTGCCTCCCCCAAAACGTCGTCTTCCCCTTTCCCCCGATTTGTGAATATCCATACAAAACAGATCCTACAATAACAACAACAATAGTGTGAAACCACAATTTGGGTGAGTTCTTCCCCTTCTTATCCCACTATTCCCCCATTGAATACTTTCTTCAGCCACGTACCAACAAAAACTGTGTAACTGTAACGACTCTCTCTTCCCCTTCCCCACCTTCGTTTAATACTATTTTCGGGTAGAGCCAAGAAAATAGTCCAGAAATTTTTACCCAAAACTTGATTACGCAGTACAAAGTACATCACAGTGTTATTTTTCGATTTCTATGGATTTTTAGTAGCAAAATGCGTTGGTTGCTTTTATTTATACCCAAACACCAACAAAAATACCAGACAGCAAAAGAGTGAGAAGCATATAGAAAAGCCGCCAAAGCACAAGTGTAAACGAGCTACAGAGAGAGCGAGAGAGCAGCTTTTGAGAGAGCCAGCGCATGCGCTTGAAAAGTGGGTGGGGTATGGGGGAGGGGCTGCAGGTGAATGCTGTTGCCGTTGTAATCACCACGCGAATGTGTGTGCGTTGTGTTTTTGTTGTGGTATGCGAGCGCGGCAAAATCTCTAAACACCGCGCTTCAATTCCAACCAACTAACTAACTTGGCTAAAAAGAAACATACTATTGACGTTGCTTTTTATTTTTAAACCGCCTTTTGTTGTCATTCCTGGTGACGTCATTTGAAAAACTTGTTTGTTTGACCATTGTTTTTAATGACCAACCAGAGGGCCTAGCCCAGATCTCTAGGTCTCAATTTCCAACTGGATGAGGAGAAGGTTGCTTTCTATCAGACTTTATGTTTACTTTTTTATGTGCAGCTCGGAAGCAGATAAGCCCAAATGTATTTATATATGTACATATGTATATAATAGTACTTGTAGATATGTGTGTCGAGTGTATTTCTCTGATATGTTTTGTTATCGTCACGTGGGAGTTGTAGTGTAGTGCATAGGAATATCTGTCAACTTAAAAAGTCATGAATGAGGGAAAGAGATGAAAGTAGTAAATGGCATATTCCCGCTATATTTAGAAATGATCTTTGATTCAGCTTCAAAAGGCAAGTAATGTCTATGTGAAAGGAAGAAAGGGAGGAATCTTGGAGACTCGACACACAATCAATTCACAGTTAGATTTTAAAATTTTGTTGCGATCATAACTAGATGGCGCCACTGAATCACAAAAGTGGTGTACAATGGCAAACCAAACATTCGGTCTTGTAAATAAAAACATTTGGCACGCTTGTCGTAAATTTACATATGTATATAGAAGATCAAAAAGTTTTAAACTGATGATCTTTTTAGAAATGTAATTTAATGGTACCTTTAATTTAATTTTTTTAAGAACATTCATAAAAATAAAATGTAAAAATGTGTAAGCACGGACAACAAAAATAACTATGCATAAGAAATTGGGATTCAATAAATATATACGAATACAGTAGAATCCGCTTATAGCGACTTTCAAGGGACCGACGATTTTTCGTCGTTAGACCCGGAAGCGCACTAAGCGAAGGATTTAAGTGTATAAGTCTGTCTGGGGACCAATCAAGCCATCGAGTTTTTGTCGCAATATCCGGACGGACACTATAAGCGGAGTCGTTATAACAGGATTCTACTGTATGTTGAATATTCATTAAACGCTAATAATGATTTTTAATAGTCACTAAAACTAGTTCTCTATTTCTTATAGTCCTCGAGATACACATTTTTCGATAACACTTTACACGAACAAAATAACGCCTGAAAACCAAGTCAACTAATCCGTTTTTTCTTCACCTCTTTTGCTTGGCTGACTTGCCCTATATCCTGATATCTCAAGCTATTTTCATTTCCGCTTGACGAGGTCCGCCCAATGTCATGCGATATATACCCTCACACCTTAAAAATACACCTGGTATACCTTTGGCACCCCGATAGGAATCTAAGTTTGGATCTGGGCGAAACTCTTTAGCCGACATGCAAATGTGCCATAAAATGCTCTCGCCTTCTTGACTTTTAAACTTTAAAGCCAGGAAGAGGAAATGCATAAAGTACCGCGAGGGGGGTTTACTGGGGGATAAAAGGGACTAACTGTATAGTAGTCCCAGCTCAGGTCCGAAATTCAGTAAAGGCACGCCAACCGTTGCTTAGTTGTACTGGTACATGGAAAAGGTTACGAATTTGCATAAAATCGAATATTTACATGTGGTCCTTAGGATACATATATGGGTAATAGTGTGGGGATTTGTGTGCGTAACACTTTTGATGATGGGTCAACATCGTAAACACCAGCGAGTCCCAGACCAATAAAATACATTTTGTGTTGTGTAGGAAAATGAGGGAACGCCTCTTGAAGTGGAAATTTTTGGAAGGAACCAAGGGATTTACTCTAGCTATTGATTATCAGGCATTTTTAGTTAATGTTTATCATTAGCTTTGGTTTATAACCCTTTAAACCCTTGATTATAATGGTTTATAAAATTTATGTGGATAAGAGAAAACCATTTAATTTTTTTTGAATTTATTTTTTAACATACATACATATGTATATCCCTTTTAAAATACCTGCTGCCGTAATCTCTTTATTTAAAATATCCTAACATGAACTCTTAGTGCAATAAACTCGCGGCAAATTATGTCATGTACACCCTTTTGTTCTCAATAAATTTCCATAGAGACGTGACTTTCTTGAAGTTGGAAACAACTCCCCGTTAGAGTGTTCCCCATTCGAGTTTTCCTCGGGGCTCAGCCTTTTTCCTTTCCATTGTTTATTGGACTGCGGATGCCAGCCCAGCTGACGACTTGATAGAATGAGTGCCTGACTGATGGCAATATGCATATTGATATGGAAGCCATCACCTACATTCGGTTACGGCAGGAAAAGTGGAGCAAATAAGGCAGGGAATTGTGCTTGGAGGGGGGGAAAAAGCGGAAAAAAGCGGGTGGCAGACACTCATAAAGTTGGTAAGAGTGACAAACATAACACATGTTTCCACTCAATAGATACGTGTACGTACCAAAGACGTTATATGTGCTCGCTGGTACGGATATATGTAGAACACCCTTTGCGGAAAACATCATTTACTGCCATCCAATTAAGGCAAAGGCAGGTTTCGTGTGCAGGTCGGTGTGGGCGCATTTGTTGCCATCAAATGGAGAGAAATAATCATTAAAATGAAATGGTATTGTATAGGGGCTCGGACTTGAGAATGCCCTATACCTCAAATATTTAAATAAAAGCGATTTGTAGGAACAAATAAACCCATTTATGATAAATTATCTGAAACTGCAAAATCTTGAGATAAAGATGTTTGATTTTGTGATGCTTATGCATATCTCTTATCAAGTTATTTAAATATTTGTTATCTTTCTCTGAATTACATATTATTAATCTGACATACTCCGTATGTAGAAGCTTATATAATAGGTATGCCAATAGCAAAAGTACAAATTAAATTTGCTAATAAGAAATAGCATGCGGAAGCTCAAATCCCGAAATGTGTGGGCTGGACTGAAGTGATTTAAGACAAGACGCTCGACGAGAGTTTTACCGCTGCCCAGAGAGATATTAAAGCCATAATAAATTTATCTTTTTTAATGTTTTTGCAGTCGCCAAACAGTCGTTGCCGTTCTGCCGTGTCGTGTTTCCGTGCCCCCAAAGTTTGCCATGATGTTGGACGATGACAACTCGGATCTGCTGGTCTGTGCATCGGAGATGCAGGAAGGTGGGAGCTCAACGAACTTATTTAACAGTCCGACATTGAGTGATGTGGATTATTGTGTGCTCTATTCTGTTTGCAGACCGTTTATACTTTGTGGCCTTCAAGAAGAACATCAAGCCAAAGAACACGATTAATACCCACTACTTCAGCATCGATGAGGAGTTCATCTACGAGAACTTCTACAACGACTTCGGTCCCCTGAACATCTGCATGCTCTACAGATACTGCATGAAGCTGAACACCAAGCTGAACGCCAAGTGCCATGCCAACAAGAAAATAGTTCACTACACCTCCATGAATCCCGGCAAGCGACTCAATGCGGCCTACCTGATTGGTTCGTATGCAGTAAGTGCTCCTGGACTTGAAAGTTTTATTGATTTTAAGTGGACGTTTGAACATGATAATCATTTATTAAAATTGTTTAGTTGTTACAGAAGAAATATAAATATAAAAGTTCAAAGAAACTTAATTTTAAAAGACAAGTAGATAAATTCAAAACTATTGAAAAGCTGTTCTGTTTAGTGTAATTTTAAAATTTAAAGCTAAAACAATGAATCAATGTCAAACAAACAACAAAACATAGACAGTCAGTCATATTGACTTATATCATTGTCTAATTACACACTTAATAACATTTTAAAGATCGCTTATTGCAATGAACGATGAATATTAATTGGCAGAGTTTTACAAAACAGAACTCATTATGTATATATTATAAAAATACTACATTTAACAAGAGAAAACCTTTTAAAATTTCATGATTAACTCTCTCAAGCGTTCACTAAATGAATGATAATAATCCTAAACTAATGGTTTTCACCTTTCCAGATTATCTACCTAAACAAGACGCCCCAGGAGGCGTATCGACCGCTGGTCGCTGGCGAGATTCCTGCCTACACGCGCTTTTGTGACGCCAGCTATGGACCCAGCAACTTTAAGATTTCCCTGCTGGATTGTCTAAATGCTGTGCACAAAGGATTGCAGGCGGGATTCTTCAACTTCAACGACTTCGATGCTGAGGAGTACGAGTATTTCGAGCGCGTGGAGAATGGCGACTTCAACTGGATTGTGCCGCAGAAGTTTATAGCGTTTTGCGGGCCGCATCAGAAGAGCAAAACGCTGCCGAATGGATATCCGTGCCATGCACCCGAACGCTACTTTAGCTACTTCCGGGATAATAATGTCACGACGGTGATTCGGCTGAACGCCAAGGTCTATCACGCGTCATCCTTTGAGAACGCCGGCTTCGATCACAAGGATCTGTTCTTCATCGATGGCAGCACGCCGAGCGACGCGATCATGAAGAAGTTTCTCTCCATCTGCGAGACGACGAAGGGAGCAATTGCGGTCCACTGCAAAGCGGGCTTGGGACGCACGGGCAGCCTGATTGGAGCTTATATAATGAAGCACTACGGGTTCACTGCCCTGGAGTCCATTGCCTGGTTGAGGCTCTGCCGGCCGGGATCGGTCATTGGACATCAGCAGCAGTGGATGGAGGAGTAAGTGTTTGTTATAAGAAAAAGAATCCCTAAGTAACGATTTATTTATACTTCGTTTAGCAAACAAAGCTGGCTTTGGTCGGAGGGCGAACGAATGCGCCGGCGCACCACGCTGCCCATCCTCAAGCACACGTACGGGATCAACAGCCTGGAGCTGAAGGCCAAACTGGCATCGGCTGCCTCCGATACCGCGGAGCATATGGATCTGCTTTTAACCCGCGTGAAAGGCATTTCCCAACGCGTGGATACCATGCACTTAAACGACCAGGACACCTTGGATGCTGCTTGTGCGGATCAGACGGATGAGGAGTTATCGGAGCAGCAGCGATTGGAGCAGGACGAGCGAGCCTTGTACGAGTCCGCCGAAGATCCCAACTGCAACGTTAGCGATGACAACGACACGGACACGCTCAGTGCGCCGGCCGAGCAGCCTCTGTCCTCCAGCTATACAATATCCACACGGCGCAGGAAGTCGCCTTCGGCCGCGAACAAGCCAACGGTTATAGCCACATCCCTGAGGCGTCTGGTCAATCCCAATGCCAATCGAAGTGGGCTGAGTACCGCTTCCGGGGTGTATCCTGCTCCCGAGGTGGCCAGCTGCACGGAGAAGAAGTTGCGCAAGCCGAGTGCAAGTGTCTTCGAGGCAGCTCGTCACACCATCGCTTCCACAGTGAGGATGACGCAAACGGCGCTGGAGAAGAAGCAGGCGCAGACGCAGGGCGACAAGCTGAACCAGATCAAGGCTTTAAGGAGGCACCACTCGCGATCAGTTAATGTTAATAGCAACAGGTGGGTCAGAAGGCTTTTAAGTGCCTTTTAAGTGAACTAAGTTAAGAAAGGAACATTTATTTAGAAGTTATCTGATATAAAAAGTTATGTATTACAAAGTAAACAATAATTTGATGCATTGTACATGAAGTTTAGGTATATGTACTTTTATCTAAAAGAACCATGTAAAGCTGTTCCTACTAACTCATATTTCTTTATTCATTCCAACAGCGAACAGGAATCGAATCTGCGGCACACAAGAGCTCGATCGCAGCCCTTCCGGAATAACAACAACGGAGTGGTTGGCAATCCAGCGATGGCTGCTTTGAAGGCCGGACAACCCACTTCCTCGTGTTTGCCAACGAGCACTGCGGCAGCTGCCATTTTGGCCAATAATCTGAACAACAACAGTATCGGGACTAGCAGCAATAATAATAACAACAACAACAGCAACAGTAATCTAAGCAACTCCCTGAATAACTATAACAACAACAACAACAATACCACTAACAATATTCTGGCCAGTTCGGGGAGCAGTCGCACCCGCAGCTTGGCGATCTATAGCAAAAGGTAAGTACAGGATAATGCCCCGAATCCCAGAAAAAAAAACACTTTGACTCGAAAACTCCTCGAAAAATATTCTCGTTATGTTGGATTTGTATTGGATTTGATTTCGTTCCGTGTGCGGCTCTGCTTTTTAGCAATTTGTTGTACTTAATTTATACTTTCGTTGCCCTCCAAAGCACTTTCCTTTTTCTTTACACAGCCCCCGTTTCAATTGTAAATATTTTTAGGTTTTTTATGTACTGTCGTAACTTTTTTAGTCGAATTATCAGCAATGAAAACGAATTCTGAAATGTTATTTCAAACCTAATAAAAAATATATTTGTATTTGGGAACCTTCTTTGTTAAACAGTTTTGTTAAATATTTTCGAATTTAACTCACTTTTGATTTTAAAAAGTTCGACAGTACTTAATATTTTTAATGTAATAGTTGCCCCTCAGTTGTAAAATGCACCAAGTTAACATTGAATGCCGTTTGACCACAAAAACTAACCCGAAAATAATATTCGTTTCCCTTAGTTTAGTCGCTAATTTAGTTTTAATTTTATTCTTGTTTGTACTTAGCATTTTTTGCATTGATGTTTAATGCATGCCTAAATTGAAAAAAATATTTATTGTTGCGCAAAAAAATAATAAACACCAAATTATCGAAATTATGCCGAAAGCTTGCGAAATTTATTTCGAACGTTTTGTCTTTGTTTTGGCCTTGTTTGCGTTGCTTCTATTTGTTGTGTATATTTGTTAAGGATTATGGAGTACACATGGTATATTATAAAAGTATCCTTGCAGAGCTTCCATGTCATTAAATAAAACGTTTCATCAAATATTATCTTAATCTGTATTTCTTAAATGTTCGAAATTGTTTTTATTTTTTTCATTTATTTATAAAGTGACCAAACTCTGCAAGGTATTAGAATCTTCGGACTCCGAAGCTTTTTCCGTTACTCCTCTTTTAGTAAGACTGTTGCGTTTTTGGGACTCACACTGTACCCGTAACCCGTACACCATCTCTCTTTCTCTCTCTGTCTCTTTCTCTTCTCTCGTCCCATTTCCGCCTGTCCCCCTTGGCTTTCGGTTCCGTTCTCGTTCAGATTGGAACTGAAGCACCTGCGAAAGGCGGAACAGCAGCAGCATCAGCAGGCGGAGCTGGAGCAACCGATGCTGCCGGCGGAGAAGCAGCTGCTCCGTCCGTATGCCACCATAAACGAGAGCAAGATACCCGTGGTGTCCGGCAGTGGTGGTGCCGGCAGCTCGGCCACCATTCCGCCCACGCGTGGCAGCGCCGCCCGCACGTCCCATCACCACATGACGCTCCGGGGGAGATCCCGGATCCGTTACCAGCGTCCCAATGCCGGCGAACCGGCTCCGGCGGCGGCACAAACGCAACCGTGCACGGTGGCGACGGCTCGGTATTATCGGGACGTTTCGGCGATACCCACAATGGGTGTCCTGGGTAACAGTGGTGGGTGCTCCTCCTCTTCTGCCGCCGCCTCTCTTAACATAGCCACACGCTCCGCATCCGCCACGCTCGATCTCAACTCCAATCCGCTGCCGAAAGCAAAGTTAACCAGCCTCAACAATAATCAAACTCCCACACCTCCTCCTGCAGACACAAGCCGGCTTAGTGGGCGTGGCAGTGCCGAATTGCAGGCGATCATCGAGCACAGCCTGGTCGCCGGTGCGGCCAAGCGGAACAAGCGATCGCTCAGCTCGACGCGACTGGACAAGGACAAGAGCGACGAGTACAACACGAAGCTGTTGCGCAAGACGGCGGCCGCAGCGGCAGCAGCGGCCACAGCAGCATCATCATCCGGAGGCAGTGCAGCGACGGCCACCGGCGGCTCCATCAACCACTCGCCCTCCGCCAGCAGCAGCAGCATCAACAACAATTGCAAGTTCAACAGTTGCAGCAGCAGCAACAGCGGCAGCTTCAAGCTCTCGCGCCGCCTCTTCGGGGAATCGGGATCCTCGGCCTCGACGTCCGCATCGAATTCGGGGATTCCCACGCCCACGGCACCGCCATCCACCAGCCAGTGGCACCAGCATCTGGGGCGCGGCACGAGTCGCGTGTCCAGCGAAAGGGATCGGGAACGACAGCAGCAGCAGAATCAGCATCAGCATCAGCAATCCCTGGACCATCAGCAATCCAACCTCAAGCTGCGCAAGAAGATCAGCTACTGAGACGATCCTGGCCGGTCCTGGCTTCCTTTAGTTATATAGACTATATTTTGACTAGTAAATTCACCGTTTCCTCAATTCACCCACAATTTCCCTCCGGGAGTGGCAATGCAATCAGATTTGGTGTTTGATTAGAAGACATTTTATTAATCTTTAGGTACTATATCGTTTATACTCTTACATTTTTGTAGGCAAATTTTTGAAATTGTTATCAATGCTATTAAATTTGTTGTATTAAATGGCTTAAATTGTGCAAAAACCAAAATTGTTTGCATTTTTGTAACAGGCGTAATTTAAGGTCCATTTTGGCATCGTTTTTTACAAGCAAACATTGTACAGTGACCAAATTTGAAGAACTACAAAATGAAATTGTTACCGTAGTGATAAGACCCAAACTGTATTTAATTTTTGTGTAATTATTATTTTTATTTAAGAACGTGAATGAATGAAACAAATTGAAGTAATTGTGGTGCAAATTGTATGTATGTGCATTATCTTAAAGATGATTTTTGAAATTTATTTTTAGTTTTACGAACTTTACAAATAAATTAGAAAACATGTGGTTAATAATTATTTCACAGTTAGATGTAACATTTTATTAGTTTTACGAAATTTGTGTAAGTCTTATATAAAAGAGCATGTTTTGTATAAAACAACTTAACTTTTGGTGTAATTTATGAAGGCATATTTCAACCAGCTAATAGTATTTTTTATTGTACCGGTTACAATTTTGATTTTTTATGATGTATTTATATTGCCTTTTATCAAAGGATATCACATATGTAGGCTTGTTTCTTAATATTCAATTTTTTACACTTTTTAGTCCGGTCAAAGGTTTTCAACGTTTTTTTTAATGGTAATTGCAGTTGTGAAAGTTCAATTGAAATTTGTATAAAATTAATTGTATAAAATAATCATTCAACTTTTAAAATGTTCCAATTAGTTACTTAAATACGATTACATGTCCCTAACGATTCATCAAATTTAATTAGCATTGGTATCGGAAAACAGCGCTCTGAATTAAGGGGAACTCCCCTTTTTCAAAAGTCAAAGTGCCATTTGATTTCCCTATTGCATCTGGCTTCAATCTTGTTTGCCTTATCATTATTGTACAAAGTTAACATAGACGTTTAACAGAATACCTTGAACAAATTACTTTTTCACGTTATACACCCTCTACTGTGGGCAATGGTATTAGCAGAATAAGTCGTAAGTTAAAGAGAAATATGTGCATTATCTGACCTTGTTTAGAATGTAAATAAGAGAACGTTTACTTATTTGTAAGCCGAACTAGTTAAAAATAAATGTTATATTTATTGGAAACGGTATTAACTAGATCAGCATTGTGCTAAAGTACTCAATTATCTGGTCGTAGATCTTGCTTTCCAGTGCCACAAAGACCACGTCGAAGGCGCAATTCAGCTCGACACACAGCAGAGGTTCCATCGACGACGACTCCAGAGTTCTGATCGAGGGTCTAATCTTTAAGGCGCTCAACATGCTTAAAGTCTTATCCTTTGTGGTGACGTAATCGTCTGAACGGATGACCTCGAAAGCAGCTTCCTTGAGGGCGGGATAGAAGTTCTTGAAGTAGTTGTGTCGATCGCAGAGGCGCAGACCCGAGTTGTCCACACTTCCGGCCTCTGTAAGCTCCCTGTAGGTGTTAAACTTCTTCCGGCGTTCCGCCTCAAGGTCCTCCATAGCATCGTCCAGGTTGCTCCCATCCGTACTCACCACCTGCATTTTATCCGTACGTCCATTATCCGCTTCGTTCATGATGATAGCCAGCATTTCGATAGCTGCTCGCTGGCGAGCATCCTTTTTCTTGTCCGACTTTCCGTAGCGAATAATGGAGGCCACGGAGCAGCAGGCCACGAATTCCGGGGCGTTCGGAGTGCCACTCTGCTGGACAATTTCGATAGTGGGCAGCGGCATCTCGTGGCGAACGCAGTAGTCCCGCAGCTCCTTCAGCATATCCCGGTTCAGGTTGGTAAGCTCCTCGCACAGATCGGACACCGTGTTGGTCTCACACTCCTCCAGCAAACTTTCAACGCCGGGGAGTTTCCTGATTTTACGCAGGATGTTGGCGGCAGCCAGATGTTTGGCGTCACGCTTTGACCGGCCTAAAATTTGATACATGTTTATTAATAAAAAAAGTCAAAGCTAACATCAATAAATTTGTTTGTCTAGTCATTTTACCATTTCCGTAGGCTTCAATTTCCATGAGAACTACTTTACAAACGTATCCTCCGTCTTCACCATCGATATAATCATACGTTGGAGGAATATTCTTCGACTTGGCGCAGAATTCCTGAAGAGCAGAGACAGCTGATTTATTTTCCATTAGTGTAAGGGTGACGTCTATCTAGCAGTTATTTTACAAAATATATCTATGGACGTTTTTATAGCTGTCCAGTGCACTTCTTAATAGAGATGACAGCGATAGTCACGAACCGGTGCCAGTCACGAGCGTCGCAAGTCACAGTTTGAAGTTAAGGAATATCTAATTCAAAACTATTACAGTAAAATTAGATATCAATAATTTTAAAAACAATTCTTAGTAGCAGGGCGACTTTGTAAATATGGACGTCAACTAAACGAAAAGAATAACAAATAATATTATTGGTTAATATGGTCAATAAAATGCGCCTAACTTAGAAAATTGTAATAAATACATACCTTTAAATCGAAGATACCTTTAAAAGAACCTTTTAAAAACAAGGGAAGAATTTTTTACTGCATAATTTTAATTTATTTAGACTGTAGACAGAGACTTACCTTAATGAAACCCAAAACTCGTTAGCTCCGAGGCCTTTGTTATAATACCACCGATAAGAAAAAATAAACATACGTAAGCTAATATGACAATATTGAAAGATGCTAGAAGCATTTCCATTTTTAAGATTACTTTTTTAAAATTCAACGTCCGAATTAATACAGACAATCGTACACGTCACTTTGACACGAGTTAGCACCCCCGAGAGTCAAGGCAACCCTGTTGCTGAAAGTATGACATTAACAAGTGTTGCTGCTAGAAATGAGCAAAAGTCACTGTTTCGCATCATTCATCGGGAGTTTGATTTAAGAAAAAAAAGTTTTTTTGTGTTTATCTGACTTTTAAAATTTGTTCTTAGTGGCTTTTAGTATTCTTTGAAACAATATTTCTCATGTGAAATGGTTTCTTTCTCTTGAAAAGATCAAATTGAGCACCTTATCGAAACCCGTGATTTAAAAATAACTGCTACCGATGGTAGCCCTGTGATTAGGGTACATCTCTGGTCACAGGTCAGAATCAAATGGAGACGAGTTTTTGAACAACTGCGGAACGTTTACTGCGTTTCATAATCAATAATTCTCTGGTGGCAGGCAAAACACCAGAAAACAGCTGGCAAACCAAACAACAACAGAGCTAATAGAACCAAATCTAATGTCAAGTTCGGTATTAAAACTACAAAGAAAATCTAAATAGGAAGTGGTGGCAGTGAGACACAGTGGCTGCAAAAAAAAGTGTGACTGCTAGAGCTGTGAAAACCCATCAGCGATCATCTTAGCGAGGGTCATTAATTAGCGACATAGAAAGTTCATCGATTCGCGGGTCAACGAGATGGAGGATACTGCCGCCGCTTCTCCCGCAGCCGCCACGGCTGCTGGATGCGACGCCGCCCGTCAGAAAATCCCGGAAATCGCTTCCCCCGGCGGATCCAGTGTCCGCCTACTCATAAAGTCGTCCAACCAGCAGTACGAGGATCTCAACGTGGACTCGGATCTCTGCTGGACGGTCCAGCGGCTTAAGAAACAGCTGTCAATGGTCTATCCTGGCAAACCGGTGGGTTCTCGAGTTTCTGTCCTTCAAAAATGTTCCCAAATTTCCCAGGCCTCCTATCTTATCGCATAGTTTGTTATTGTTTATCATCTCCGTTTGGCATACATAAATACCCGGTGCTATTTGCGTCTCAGCCGCAAGTACACGTCAGTAGATTGCCTCTTTAAATTATAGCCGTTGTCATGCACTTGCGTCATGCACTTGGTCTAGCCAAATCGATGGCTTGGAAAATGAACTGGGATTATAATTGTTACGGTTTGAGGTTGATAAGGTTTTTAGTTAACATACTTCACACTTCATACTTCATACTAAATTTGATCAAAATAACATTCCGGTCATGTGCCTTTTTGTTTGCATCTCACATATTTATAACTCTTACTTATATTTACATGACTTCTGAGTCATTGCTGCAGGTATATTTATAGTACAATTAATGCAGTTCATTACGAAAACCCGAGGTTAATTACTTCAGTGCATAACCAAGTGCAATTCAAGTTCCAATAACAATAAGAAGGTTTCTAAATTTGTGTAGTTATTCACATTACTTTCTGAAATTCATCAACATATAAACATCTGCATCTATAAACAAACAATCGGTGCACTAATATCGGCGTAAATAAATTGATTACTTTAAGTACTTTGAAAAGGTTTGAACGCTATCCTTGTAAGTTGTTGGTTTATTAGCTAAATAATTTAATCTATACTAATATTATAAAGAGGTAAAATTTGTTTGTTTGTTTGTTTGTTTGTTTGTTTGTTTGCAGGGAATAGGCTCCTGAACTACTGGTCCGATTTAAAAATTCTTTCACCGATAGAAAGCTATATTATCGTGGAGTTAAATAGGCTATAATTTATTTTGAAAAAATTAGGGATCCGTAAGAAAATTGCAATATTGTCGCATATAAAGTGAGTTGCTACCTCATCACACTGACAAACACGCTCCCTTAGCATTTTAACTCAATTTTTGTGTTCACTGTGAAATTGTTAAAAAAAAGAAAGAATTTTTATTCAATTTAAGTTGAACTGTGAAAATTATGTGGATCGTGCATTTGAGGATAAATTCACCACTCTGTCCATAGTCCGAAATGCTTAGAGGACGACGTGCAAACATTGGCCACAGACATCCAAGCCAGCAACAAGTATATTCACAAAACTTAAGCGAAGAAAGACAAATGAGCGCATGGAGATCATTGGCATCATTCAATCGCTTGGCATTCCAATATGACCCCACTGCGGACTACAGTGATAATGAAAATTTAGATATTGGACTATATACCGATATTGCAGTGCGTTAAAGTTTAAAAGAGAAACGGCTGGATTGTGCTGCGCAAGTGGAGAAGTCAAACTGGAAAAGTGTTAAATAACCATCTTTCTATACTTCCCCATATATTTGAAAAATGTTGCAACATTGACTTTTATGTTGTTAAATTGTGTTGGCCAGCGAAGCGGACACAGGCCCTCTAGTTTATAATAAAATGAAACACTTTTTCTATAGCACTAATCGAATTCCTTATTTTCACAGAAAATCCAAGATCAGAAGCTTATCTACTCGGGTAAGCTATTGGATGACAGCCAAAAAATATCGGAGGTGATACGCAGCTACAAGGATGTCTACCAGCAGCACCACATCTTTCATTTGGTGTGTGCCAGCAAGCAGATAATACCGACGCCAGCCAAGACAATCCCTGTGCCGCCCAAGGATGCTGGGCCAGCGCTCCAGGAGGCCAGCGGGAATGCAAATGAGCTGCGACAACGTCGGTCCACGCAGCAGGCAACCACTGCGTCTTCCGTGGCAGGTGACATTGGCTTAGGCAATCCCTGGGCGCAGTTCTGGCAGCAGAACCAGACGGCATCGGCGGCAGCCAATAGTGCCACTGTCAGTGCCAATCCCCATGCGCTTTTCCAACAGCAGGCCCTAATCTACAACGCCTGGATGCAGCAAGTCTACGCCCAGTACATGCAGCAGTTGGCTCTTAGGTAAGTTGATATTGCAATCAACTGAAAGTTAAAAACTTAGTCACTTCAGAGCTCTATGCTGTATACACTTCATTAGCTAAATAAATTAAAAACTATTATTCCATTTATATGCCCCTTGGTATTATGAATTCGTTTCGTTTATTTTAATATAGTTTGCAAGACTTACAATAACTATATTAGATCGTTTCAAATAGTAAAAATATCATGATATTTTATACAGATTGCAACCTAATTCTTTAATTTCCTTTTTCAAACATTATTAGCCGACAGAATTTTGCAAAACAAAATGTTTTGGTACATCTAAATGTATTTTTGGTTATCAGACGTGCTCCCATTTAATTTTTTTTGGGATTTGCGATTACAGCTAAACAACACGAGTTTATTTTTAGGCACTTCTAAATTGTATACAGTTTTATGTGCGCACTCTAGTTGGGGATTTATTTGTTGTATTCTGTATTTATCTAGAATTATTCTTTATTTTATGCAGATCTACGTTGCCTGGATCAAACGAATCTGCTTTGCCGCCACTGTCGCAACCCCTGCTGCCCCAAATCCCGCTGATTGCTGCACGAAACTTTCCGGAGGCGCAACCAGTGGTTGGAGCAGCGGCAGACCCAGCGGCGCAGGCCCAGGCACCTGCCCCCCAGATAAATGGAGCACCGGTTAACAGACCAAATTTCCCCAACATCCAGGAGGAGCCTGAAATGCGCGACTGGCTGGATAGCTTCTTTAGCTTTACGCGATTGGCAATTTTCGTGACTGTCCTGTACTTTAACTCCTCGCCGATGCGGTGTTTGCTGGTGGTGCTCATCGCCGGAGCAATTTATCTGTAAGTATTACATACACTTAATATGACACAATATAAAAATTATTGTAACTAATTCCTCTTAATTATTTTAACTCTTACAATAAGTAATCAATTATTTATAATTAATTATTTCATTTATATTTGTTTTAGGTATCACATTGGTGTCCTGAGACGTCGTCGTGAACGCAACAATAACAACATCAACCGCAACAACAACGCTGGTGACGCCGCCGCTTTTGCTGCAGTGCAGCAGATTCAGCGGATGATGGACGCGGCGGTGGAGCGGGAGAACAACGATCCCCAGGCGGCTAACGAACCTGGTGCAGTGCCAGCAGCTGGACCTGCTGCTGCTGCTGCTGGTGGACAGGATGCCATCGATGGCCCTGCTGCTGCTCCTCCTCCGGCTGCCGTTCCTGCTGCTCCAGCATCCGCAGTCAATCCGGATCAAGCTGATGTTTCCGCTGAAGCCGTTGCCGTGGAACCACCAAATGCCAATAACTCTGTGATTTCCGTTGTGCGCACCTTTGTCATCACCTTCTTCACATCGCTGCTGCCCGAGGCGCCGGCGCTGTAGAGGATCGATCTGTGGCATCTGTGGATCCCAGTGGGCCATCCGCTAACCAGCTTTACAGCTTAACGGCTTTCCTCTTTCTAAACACCCGTAATCAAAATGTTATTCCGTTTTCCTTTCGGTTTTGCATACCTGAGAATGTAGCAAAAACACACAATTTGGTTTACTAGCTGTAATAATAATGTATATTTATTTTCTGTGTGTGAGGACGTGCTGCGATTCCGTGGCCACAGCTCCAGTAGTTGGTAGAATTTTAGATAAATAAGAAAGTAAACTGTTTTTGATGTGAATAGTAGAATGATTATAATCTGCACTGAAATCTGTGCCAGAGACGAGAACCTATGAAACCGAGATGCAATTTAAAATAAAACATATGCTTTAACACCAAAACACTTAATTGTGAAGTGGTGTTTACAAAGTGCAATTCATGATAGAAAAATAAAATTGATATGCTTCATTATTTTAATTCAAAAATTGTTATACTGCTAGACTGTTAATTATTATTTTATAAAAAATAAAATTGTATAAAATTTAAAATATGATTTGAAGTTATATTGCAAGTTTTCTTTTATAATTTGGAAGTTAAAATATTTTTAAGCGAATTAAGTCATTATACTACAAGAAACCAATAATTATTATTCAAAATTTTAAAAATTGCTGGTATTTTCCGAAAAGAAGTGTATGAATTGCATTGTGTAAACACCGCTTAGGGAATTTTCCTAGGGAGGTTCTCTTAACTTTCGAAACAGCTCTCTTATCGGAGTGGAAAATTTTCAGCCCAAAATTGAACTGAGATCCGGCTTCCCCCACGGGTAAGTGACAATCTCGAACAGCTTGCTCTTTTTGCTCCGCTAACGCACAAAATTGGTTTCTTTTCAGCTGCGATGAGATGCATGGAGAGCGAGGCTTATCGCTGGATTTACGATGGGGTCCAACTGCTGATTAGGAGCTGTTTCGCTGGCCGCCTCCTCCGATGGCTTCAGAAGAGTGCCAGAGCTCAGAGCAAACGGATCGGATCATCCAAGTAGAGAAGACTCAACACCAAGAACACAATTAAGTTTGCACTTGATCTGCTCGAACTGATCCCACAAAGCTGCCGAAAAATGTGGCGGGCGATTCAACAGCGCGCAACAATCGCGCATCCGTTCACCAGACAACGCCATGTGAGTTGATTCACCTCCCCAATTGCATCTCCAGTGATTCGTTGGAAGTCAGAGAAGTATCACTAAAGATTCCATTCATAAAGTTGTAAAAACAATTAAGATTTGTGCAGCCTTAAAAGTAATTAAGCTTTGGTTTTTAATTGTTTTAAACATCCAATGTACTTTTTATTTGTTGTCAAGATAAGAAACAAAAATTTTCGTCATTTATAATAATGATCCATATTATATTTTGTGCATTTTATAAATTGTACTAAAATGTACAAGAAAAATTTACAATGTGGATGGGTAGGAAAGGGTATTTTTAATCCCAAATAAATGTATTGGATATAAGACCATTTTTTCAAAAGATCAAAATCATTTATGTTAAATATTAATATTAGTACAATTTTTTTCCTATTTCACTGACTCTTATTGTAAATTTCATTTTTTTCCTTCGACAGAGTCGTGTGATTGCCATTCGGCGAGAGGATCAGTCTGTGTGGGAGCGAAGAGCTCCTTTTGGACCCACCCACGTCCAGAAGTTGGTCAAGCAGAATGTCAAGGTCATTGTGCAGCCCTCCAATCGCCGTGCATATCCCATGCAGGTAGGCATTGATGTAAATTTAAACTTCCGTCCGCCATTCATAAGTCGTAATTTTCCATGGCCAGTTGGCAACGGATTTATTGAGTCTGCGGCTAATCGCCACTGGAAATCATATCGGTAGTCAGGCCAGCAACTAGGTGTATGTGTATTATACAGTATACACGCCCCCCAAGTGCTGCATCATAAATAAAAAAAAACTCGGATGATAAGCTCCTCTGCATGGAGCTCTAATTTTGGCAATTGCCTGGCCTTGAAATCGAGTACAAAACAAACGAGGAGGAGAGAAAAAGCAAAGGAAGCGTAGCTTATCGTTCGGAGCAATGATTTCAAGGAATTTAAAAAGTATATTCTATTGATTTATAAAGATTGTACTGTTTTTGAAAGGCGCACGTGAGGGAAAAGATTAAATGGGTTCAGAGAATCATAACTTAAATAGGAAAACAATAACACTACAATTAGCTTGGCAATAACAATTTACAAACTGGAATTTCTTAACAAGATTACTTTACTCGATTAAAAAGTGATTTTAATTGCTGAAGTTTCTTTGATAATTAAACACTATTTTTATTACTGTTTTTAAAAATTAGCCGTGAAAAAAAATATTCAGATTAGAATAAATAAAACTGTTTAAACTTGAAATAACTTGAAAAGAAGGAAAACCCATTTTTCTTAAATACATATTTAGATTTGAATAACAAAAAATCTTTGAACTTAAATAACTTGGAAAGTAGGAAAATCTTTTTTTCTTCCTAACGACAAGAGCAAAGAAAATAAAATACTTTAAGCCACAATCACTATTCTGGACATCCAACTTTTATCTTTACCACATTGTTTTGTTATATTTTTCCCCAAAACAGGCTTACATGCAAGCTGGTGCTCACATTCAGGAGGACATAAGTGATGCATCTGTGATTTTTGGAGTAAAACAAGTCCCCATTGATGCTCTAATTCCCGGCAAGACTTACTGCTTTTTCTCGCACACCATAAAGGCGCAAGAATCGAATATGCCCCTTCTGGATGCAATTTTGGAAAAGGTTGGAAATACTTTCTTAACTAAAAATAAATGTGGGCATTAACTTTTCTTTTATTTAACTAGAAAATCCGCCTAATCGACTACGAACGAATTATAGATGAACGCGGAGCTCGTCAGGTGGCTTTTGGAAAATATGCTGGAGTAGCTGGTATGGTGAACATCCTGCATGGAATTGGATTGCGTCTTTTGGCATTGGGACATCACACACCCTTCATGCACATTGGACCCGCCCACAATTATCGTAATTCCTCGATGGCTCGTCAGGCGATCCGGGATTGTGGTTACGAAATCTCGCTTGGCATGATGCCCAAGTCGATTGGACCACTTACCTTTGTGTTCACTGGCTCTGGAAACGTTTCCCAAGGAGCGCAGGAGGTGTTTTCCGAGCTGCCCATAGAGTATGTCCCGCCAGAAATGCTGCGAAAGGTGGCTGAACATGGAAGTAAGTGATCTTTACTGAAATTTAGTACTTTTCTGATTCTATCTAACTATAATTAACTTCTTTTAGATCAAAACAAGCTCTATGGTTGCGAGGTGAGTCGCTCGGATCATCTGGAGCGACGCGAAGGCGGTGGCTTCGATGCCAAGGAGTACGATGAGTTCCCCGAACGCTACATCTCCACTTTCAGCACGAAGATTGCTCCTTATGCCTCAGTCATCGTGAATGGCATCTACTGGGCAGTTGGGAGTCCCAAGTTGATCAGCATTCCGGATGCCAAGAACCTGCTACGTCCTGCAAATACTCCCTGGTTGCCAACGAGCAAGGGAAGTCCCGCGTTGCCGCATCGCATGCTGGCCATTTGCGACATTTCCGCAGATCCCGGCGGCTCCATTGAGTTCATGAACGAGTGCACCACGATCGACACTCCGTTCTGTTTGTACGATGCGGATAGGAACAAGGACACCAAGAGCTTCAAGGGACCAGGAGTGCTGGTCTGCTCGATCGACAATATGCCCACGCAGTTGCCCAGGGAGTCTACGGATCTGTTTGGAGAGCTGTTGACACCGCACGTCCATGACATCATCAAGAGCGATGCCAAGAAGCCGCTGGAGGAGGAGCAGTTCTCGTATCCCATTCAATCGGTAAGTACTGCTAAATAGGGCTTTCATTGGTTTATAAATTATGATATAACTTTCGATGTCTTGTTTTATATTAAGCTTGTCAAGTTTTGATCAATAATAATATATCCTTCAAATGTAATCATTTGTTGAATAATTATGAAGGATATGTTATTTTGCTTTTACTGTTTTATTTTTTAAATAGCAGTATTGTTTCTTTTTTTAAAGAAACTTTCTTTCTAAGTGCATAGGGCCCTGTTATCAGCATCTGTTATCAATTAGCTAACTCTCCGCTTGTTTTCAGGCCATTATCGCCAGCAACGGTCAGCTGACCGAGGGCTTCCAGTACATTCAGGAGCTCCGAGAGTCGCAGAACCACCGATCGCGTCACAAGATGGAAGGACGATCCGAGTCGAACAAGAAGGTCCTCGTCTTGGGAGCTGGAATGGTCTCCGCTCCTCTGGTGGAGTGGCTGCATCGCGAGAAGGACGTTAGCATCACGGTTTGCTCCCAGGTCAAAGAGGAAGCTGATCGCCTGGCCCAACAGTACGCCGGTGTGGATAGCGTCTATTTGGATGTGAACGAGAGCACCGATCACATGCAGGAGCTGTGCGGCAAGGCGGATGTGGTGGTCTCCCTGCTGCCCTACAGCCTGCATGGAATGGTGGCACGCTACTGCGTGGCAGAGGGAACCCACATGGTCACGGCCAGTTACCTCAACGACGAGATCTCCGCCTTGCACGAGGAGGCCAAGACCAAGGGAGTGACCATCATGAACGAGGTGGGCTTGGACCCGGGAATCGATCACCTTTTGGCCCTGGAGTGCATCCACGAGGTGCAGGACAAGGGAGGCGTTGTCGAGTCCTTCGTGAGCTACTGCGGTGGCCTGCCGGCACCGGAGCACTCCAACAACTCCTTGAGGTACAAGTTCTCCTGGTCACCGAGAGGCGTGCTCCTGAACACCCTCTCCGCGGCCAAGTATCTGAGTCAGGGACAAATCGTGGAGATTTCCGGTGGCGGTGAGCTGATGTCATGTCCCCGCAGCCTGGACTTCCTGCCCGGTTTCGCGCTGGAGGGTTTCCCCAACAGGGATTCCACCAAGTACGGTTCTCTCTACGGTTTGGGCCGGGATGTCCACACCCTGCTGCGTGGAACCATCCGCTACAAGGGCTTCTCCGAGTCCATTAAGCCCATGCAACTGCTGGGCTTGATCGATGCAGAGCCACATGCTCTGCTGCATCCCAGTGGACCGGATGTCACGTGGCGCCAGCTGGTCATCCATCTGCTGGGCATGTCCGATTCGAGCATCTTCTACGAGAACCTCAAGCAGAAGCTGAACGAGCGCATTGGCGATGTGGAGGGCATCGAGAGCCTAGGTCTGCTGGACGACACTCCCGTGGTCAAACTGAACACTCCGCTGGACACGCTGAGTCACTATCTCTCCAAGAGATTGGCTTTCGGTGGGTTTCCCTATTTATTTTGAATATGTTTATCTTATTTTAAATTATACTTTCTCTTTACAGAGCGGGATGAGCGTGATTTGGTGGTTCTGCGCCATGAGGTGGGCATCCGTTGGCCCGATGGTCGTCGTGAGGAGCGTGGCATCAACTTTGTGGTTTATGGACAGCCACAGGGTCATTCCGCCATGGCAATGACAGTGGGCAAGCCAGCGGCAATTGCTGCCAAAATGATCCTGGATGGTAAGTCCTCTTTTGCTTCAAAGCACTCTGAAACCATTAATTCTTTCATAATTTTCCTCTACCAGGTGAAATCCAGGAACGCGGAGTCCTGCTGCCCTTCACACCCGACATCTATCGACCAATGCTGCAACGTCTGCGCTCCGAGGGTCTGACTGCCACGGAGACCTCCAGATGGTTGAACTAAGTAGTCTGAACTGATCCCGATCGCATCCTAGCCATAAGTCTTATTGATTGATTTTTTAATTTTTTTTCGAACAGCCCACCGCGTCGTGTCAATTTTCTTGTCTTATTTATCGCTCAGGTTTTTCGTTGTTCGATAAGACCGTAATTATGTTATCTTAGTACTGAAATAAGTTTTATGACTGGAGCTACTTGAAGTGCGTAAACAAGTTAAGGTTGTTGTCGACTTTGTGAAATATGTTTCCTCTATGTGAATTAATTATAAACTGACTGTGAACGATTGCGGAACTTTTGATTAAAAGAATAAATATTTATGGAACTAAACATCAAAGTTTTATAATGTTTGTTTCTTTTTAAGCTTTTGTAAATGGGTATTGAATACTGCAATCTTTTCACAAATCTTCATCAAATCTCTCTGATTTAGAGCCTTCAATATAAACAACTAAAATATTTCAAACGGAATTCCAATTTTGCGTGCCTTTTAATCTTCAAGATTCGATTTCCGTTCGATTGGCCCCATGGTGCCTGGCAACCCGATCCGCGAAGGGTTATCTCCCGAACTTGAACTAAAATTATAAGCACGGCTTCGATCTAAATTTAGTGCCTATAAAACACGCGCATGCTGATCCGAATGGATCCGTTTTACGGGCGGTCATTAACGTTTATAATTGTAATAAACAACAGGCCACAAATTTCCCTGAAATTATTGTCGCTCTGCCCGTGGAAAATGTGGAGCCTGAGCCTGATAACCTCTCCGCCGGGCAGCAATTTTGTTGCTCATCGAGTGGGAGCAATCTATTCGCGTTTTACAATTTTCAATTCTCATTCATTCAATGCAAAACACACTTACAATCTCTGCCAGATAAGATTGTGTGCGCAAGTGATGCCACCAAAGCTCGGGATGATTTGGTAAAATAATATGTGAAACTAAAAATATTCTAAAGGTGTTTTGATAAAAAAAAAACTGATGTTATAATAATAATATAATATTTTTTTTAGTCCTATTTTATTTTTGAATTCACTGCGAAGAACCGCTTCAATATGCATACCTAGATTAAAATTCCCACCTCAATCTATCAGTCATGTAAATTGTGACGTTGCTGAAAACACATTTGATTTTAAATAAAAATATTTAATAAAATAAAATGTATTTACTTTGATAGACGAACCCCAAACTGAGTAACTAAGTTTAATTAAAAAGTAACACAAACCCTTGGCCCAATAAAACATTTTTATGTAATTTCTTTGAGTCTCCCTGGGAAAATCAATTAAGATTCAAGATAGGTTTTTTTTTTCATTTCGAATCTCGGCAGAGTGGAGTCCGGAAAACCCGGATCAGTCAGACATATGCACCCCCGAATAGTCATCACTAGTGCTGTGCGCACTGGGATTCGGTTTTTGTGTGGAACCCAAGTCGCAGTCGACGTCGCGAATTAAGCGCTCCGGGTCTTCAGGCCTGATAAGTCCGCAGTTGGCATTCAGACGCCGGCCCGTCCGGAATATAGATTCTCGCTCCTTAGATTGTACTGTACGTCTGCGTGCTCGTCTCCGTCCGGTTCTTCTTCTTCTTCTTCTTGGATTCGCCAGTTATACGAGTGCCAGAGTAACTGTTGTTTGCGTGTTGCGTGCGAGAGAGAGCGGACAAAACGATTATTTAATTTACCCGCATTCCGTTTTTCGAGGAGGCCGCGTGTGAACGACAATCCGAAAATCATATATCTCTGTGTGGATCCGCAGATGTTATACAATATGCCGGAGTAGCCATCTGACCCATTCAAAGGTCAAGACGATACGCGCTAATCTGACTTCCGATCCAAGTGCAAACTCCCCACCACTTCCCCTCTCGCTTGCTTCCCCTCGTTATCACCTTTCACCAACTAACTAACTAGTGGAACAGCAAAAACATATTAGAAAAATAGTACAATACACCAATTACAAGATGGGTTGCATGCGCTATTTGTCGGACGCTCATTTGCGGGGCTTCGAGCGCTACAAGGTGAGTTCTTCCAAAAACCGGGGGTCGGATTTATACCCAAAGTCCCTCGGTGGGCGGTAAAAATCAATGTACCCTTTCGAAAATCCCCCCACCTACTTTAGTCAATTGTCATTATAGTATAAACAATGCACGAGGCAGGAAACAATCTCCACTATCGATTTAACCCATTTTCTCTCCATTTCCGACTGCACCAAAGAAACTTCAATTGAAGCCATAAGAAATCTAGTGCCCCCGATTCCTAATGGATCCTCAACAGGTCATCTGTTCAAGAAAAGCAAATATACAACTTTTTAAGGACTTACAAATTTTGTTAGTTTCACTTCTTTTAAAAATTTTAAATTATTTTTTTAAAAGTGGGTTATAATACTCATAGCTAAATTGCCTTTATATTAACATATACATTAATAACATTGAACTTATTTCCAAGCCAAGGAAAAAACTAAAAACACCCATCGGATTTTCAATGTTAAATTTGATTAAACGAAATCTAAGATAACACACCAAAAATGTATAGAAACAAATATAAAATAACAAACTGGAATACAAATCTATGACCAGCATTTGCATATTCCCAGTGGGTAAAAGATTACTCCTTATCGGATAACAAATTAATCTAGTTCCGGTTGGTTCGACGCCCCGATTATTCAACATTTATCATGCGTCGAATAAAATTGAATTTTTGTTTTACTTGTGTAGGTCACCAATTAAGTGATAAGCCTACTAAACAAATGTTTCGCAAACGTTCCTCACAAGGAGGCATTGAACTGTCACCGAACCATGTGCTAAAGCTCTGAAAACTTATAGAGAGATAGTACTGGGATTTGGTGGAGCGGAATGGGTTGGTGACTATCAAAAGTGGAATTTGTACTTGTAAAGATTACAACATTCAGAGACACTGTGATTATAAGTCTCCAGGGACGGGGAAAAGAAGAAGGTTAATTACTTGTATGAACTATAGTTTTCAGTTAACAAAAATTAAAAGGGAACAGAAATAGGGATTTATTTTTAAAAGGTTTTAATTTTTGTTTGCTTTGTTAAATTATATATAGAACTAAATACATAGTTTGTTTTGTAAATGGTCGGTTGGTTGTAAGTGTAATTTAATTTAAAATATAAACAAAGCCCCATTATATATATTTAATCTATAAGCTCTATGTGTGTATATTAATCAGCTTTGGATTATAAATCGATTAAAGGATTAGATCATTTTCATAAATTACAAGAAAAGTAATTCGAAGAAAAGTTTTTAATCAATATCTTATTATTTATTCCGTAGTACAGCAGTATAGACACGAGTTTCCTCAGTGTGTATGTGATGCACCCATTCTGGAACTACTGCGTAAAGGTAGGTTATACATACCTTATGGAGTATATACGTCTTATGTCACCTAACATATCCCAGTTTGTTCCCAAATGGCTGGCGCCCAACGTTCTGACCTTTGTGGGATTCCTGATGACTGTCGTCAACTTTATCCTGATAGCTTACTACGACTGGGATTTCAAAGCGGCCAACTCACACACCAACTCAGTGCCCGCTTGGGTGTGGACAGTGGCCGCCATAAATATACTCATCTACTACAATTTGGGTAAGTATACCAAGAAATAACTTATAATAAAAACAAATAATTTATGATTTGATCCTTTCAAGACGGCATGGATGGCAAGCAGGCGCGAAGAACTGGAACGAGTGGACCTTTGGGGGAGCTATTCGATCATGGATTGGACTCCTATTCAGCTGCCCTGATTCCCATTTATCTATTTTCCCTCTTTGGAACTGATGATTTACCGCCAATTCGCATGTTCTTCGTGATCTGGAACGTGTTTCTCAACTTCTATTTGACGCATGTGGAGAAGTACAATACTGGGGTTATGTTTTTGCCCTGGGGATACGACTTTACCATGTGGGTAAGTAAAAAAATAACTTTTTTAATAAAATAATTATTTGTATTAAATAATTTTTTCCTTCTTTAATAGGGAGTTAGTGGCATGCTTTTTGTGGCAACTGTTTTTGGGCCCGAGATCTATCGCTTTAGTTATCATGGTTTCACAGTGGCCAATATGTTCGAGGTGGTTCTAATTGGTTCCGGAATGGTCAGCAGTCATCCTATTATAGCCAGAAATATCTATCTGTGAGCTTTTTATACATACTACTGAGTTCCAATTTCAATTGATTTTATTAATTTTTAGATCCTACAAAAACAAGACGGGGAAAATGCGACCCATGTTTGAAATGCTGCGTCCCTTCTTCGCATTTCTCTGGCTCTTTGTGATCACAATAATCTGGTCGTTCTTCTCTCGAAACAATATAATTAATTCAGAGCCACGTACTTTGTGGATACTCTACGGCACAATATTCTCAAATATAGCTGTGAGTTTTAATAAGACTTGGTTAGGTGGTATAGATATAATTGATTTCCTAAACTCCTTTTTTAGTGCCGTTTGATTGTCGCACAAATGTCGGACATGCGTTGCGATGCCTTCAATGTGCTCATGTGGCCACTGGCCGCCACAGTGGCTGTCTGCTGTTTTCCGTATTATCAGCTGGTTTTCGAAACGGATCTCACGGCAGATGGGGAACGATGGATACTGTATGGTCTTACAATTTTCTCAACATTGGCCCACTGGCACTACGGCTTTGGTGTGGTAAGTAAACCTATTAATCTTATCACACAAACAAAATAATATCCCCAAAATGTAAATATTTTTAGGTGTCCGAGATGTGCGACCACTTCCACATTCGCTGCTTCAAAGTAAGAAAATCTAGCAGCCAATCGGATGCAGATTTAACTCAACAGCTTCTCCAGAATAATAACAAAACCAAAACGTTGAAAAGCCATTGAAACTAAATCGCCCACTAACCAAAATCACATCAAACAAACGGGGACAACCAAAATCAACCATCTTGTGATATATAGTATATTATATATATATAAATGGGTTCCAAAACATTTAGCCCTCGCCTAAATTCTAGGTTCTAAGTGGTCCATACTCAAATCAAAACACTAAACCGATACTCGCCCTCACGCGGTTTCTAATGTGGTAAAGTCCATACGAAGATATTATGTAATCCCAAACCTAATCATAGACTATATAAGATCTATAACGTACTTATCTCTAGGATAAGCCCGCATGTAAGAAACGATCTTCGAAGGTAGCTTTAACCAGCATGTAGATTGATTGAGCTAACCGCATGATTCGATAAGTATTATGTGCCTGAAGACAACTGATATATGGAGTTGTGCAACTATGACAAAGCAAAGGCTTTTTTAACAGTATCGTCCGTCGTATTGTAATTTTCTGTAGATCACGAAACCGACTGTCCCCGCTGAAGAGGAGCTGCAGGCAGTTGTCGAAGACGCCAAGCCCACGGAAAACGTTGAAGAAGTCTAGCACTCGTCGGTTCTTCTGCATTGTGTTGTGTTTAAACTTTAAATCGTTACCTAGGTACAGTTGTTAAGGAATATAAGAATATAAGAATATAAATGTTAGCTTTAAAGAAAGTTCATTGAATTAATATTTAATCTTTTTAGGTCAAAATCGTTAAATGCTTTTAATAAAAGGTATCTTTTGCATTCCTATAAAGTAAACACAAGTGAAAATAACTAATTTAAATTTAAAATTCTTTCAATTAGCTTAGATTTTATTTAGAATGCAACTGCCAGTGGATATAAGAAAATAATTTAGAGACATTTCATTATCTTACATTAAAAACATAGCGCGCGTCCCAGAGATTTCCGGATCTCCTAGTTGAGCAGCAGCTGCGCCACAATGCTGTTGTCATCCGCCGGATTGGCGGAGTGTAGACCGGATCCGCTTTCGAGGAACTCGCGCAGTTCGTTCTCCAGATCGCCGCCGCCGTGCTGCTCGTCCGATTCGTCGATCTCCATGGCCACCGGTTGTAACTGGGGCAGTGCCACCGGCTGTTGCAGCAGCTCGGGCAGCTGGACGCGTGGAGAAATGGGGCGAGGAGGTGGAAGGCCAGCTATCAAAATAAACAAGAGTTAAAATAACAAGAAGATAATAAAAACTATTATTTATTGACTTACCATAGGACATGCCCATGGCCTTCCGCAAGGCATAAGGATCGGCAATGGCGGAAGGCGGCAGTTTCTTGGCCAGATCGCTGATCTGCTGCGTCAACTGTTGGGCGGTTTGAGCCTCCTCCTGGCCAGCCGGTTGAACTAAACCCAGGTGATTCGGCAAGGGCTGTGACAAACGATCGTGCTGGGTCACTCGCAGCTTCTCAATCAGCGTCAGGTTTTGACTAAGGTGCTCGTGCATTCGTCGGTTGAGCTCGAAATTCTTCATTTCCGCCTCCATGCTGTCCAAGAAGCTCACATCGATGCCCAGATCCCCGAGAGATTGTAAGCGCTTGAAGTCCACGGGCGTGTTTTTGTATTTCTCGTACTCCTGCTCGATTTGTTCGGTGGTTTCCTGCTGGGATGGAGTTTCCTCCTCCTGCTCAAAGCACTTTTCAATCTCGCGTTGCTCGTACGAATGTAGCTGCATATTGTAAAGTTCTTCCTGTGATTTGCTGTGCTCCCCGTTGGTGAGGATATCTAGCAAGCCATTCGCAATGTTGGTTCCATAGCTGGAGTCCTTTGTGAACTGTAGAATGCTCTCTGCATATTCCGCACTGGAGGCGTCTCCATACGTACGCAGAACCAATTGAGTTTCCTCGGCACTCAGAGTGGAGAAGCGGGAATCAAAAGTTGGTGCAAAGCTGGCAAAGGCTCCGTAGCTCAGGGCTTTAACTGGCTTCATGGCATTCCGTTTGTCCACCTGTCGCACCTGCAGCTGCGTGCTCCCTGTTTGCAGTTTGCCCACTAGGTCGCCAATGGTAACTACCCTTTCGGGACCCTCGTTCTCGTCTTTGGTCAGAAGATTCAGCGTGGTACTACCATCCTTAGTTTGACGCAGGAAACCCATCTTGTGGGCATTTTTCTTTGCATTCACCCTCTGCTTGGCCTGCTGGGCGGCGTTCTGGACTTGGGCTAGGATCTCCTCGCCCGTTAGGTCATCGACATAAGGCTCGAAGTGTGTTTTGGGGGCATTCTCCAATCGGAGTGCCCGCTTGCGCTCCTCCTCCTCCAGTTGGGCAGGAGTGGGCGGTTCCTCCGCTCCTGTTGAGGCTCCTTCGTCTGCCGAATCGTGGGTTTCGCGCGACATATCGTTGGAGCTCAACTCAAACCCTAGTTCCCTTGCAGTTAGCTCTCTCATGTAACCCGAAAGTGGCTTCAGGCTCCTCATCAAGTTATCCGGCTGCAGATGCTTCATTCCCACTTGAAGCAGCCGCTTAGCTGCCTTGTTGTACACCGTATCCACATGGTTATACTTGATGGCATTCTCACACATCAGTTTGAAGTCGTCAGTGAACTCTGTTAAAGCTGCGTACTCGTGATCATCGATCTTCTGCCGCATGGTGGAGAAGTCCATGGGTCTGTTTATAATCGACGAATAACCGGGCGCCATGTCATCGGTTACTGGCCAAGCAAAGAACTGGTGGGGATCCCGCTTCTCCAGGAAGCGCAGCAGGTGCTCCAGAAGCTTGTTCAACGGCGATTTCTGCTGCTTCAGCTTAAGCACACAGCTTCGCGGCTCTCGTCCCGATTCACTGGAACTGCTGGGGGTCTTGGGCGCCTCCAAAGCTTTGGGTGTAAGGGCATTTAGTGAATTGGCACCGCCCGGCGTCGAGGGAGAGGGTATCAGAAGCTGGAAAAGGCATAACAATATTGCAATTCATTTGGAACATAGAATAAATAAGGTAATAAGGATTCACTCACGTCGGGAAGCGGCTTCGTGGGACTACTGCCCACCAATCCCAACGAAGATGATTGCAGAGACGAGGAGTTGGGCGACGAACCCATAAGGATTTCGTCCAGCTTTCGTGGGGCAATGGGCTTGGTCACCGGGCAATTGGACGGCGAGTTATCTGTGGTGATGCCAGCAAAGAAAAGGATATTTTCGGGTAGCGGTTGTGACTGGTCATCGTCCATGAAGCTAAAGCCATCCTGACTGGAATCCGGATCGACGGGCGGTGGGGCAACCGAGGGCGGGGCGAAGCCACTGCAGGCGGCGTCGTCGGCTCCTGGCATCATATCCTCGTCCGCCGATCCCACGTCCCGATGACGATCCCTACTCCTGTGGCGCTTCTCCTTGTGGTGCTTGTGCTTCTTCTCCCGATCCTTCTTCTTCTTCTTTTTCTTGGACTTCTTGTGCCGTTCGCGATGACCTTGATGCTCCTGCAGCTCATCGGGAACGGGCGACATCATGGCCTCGGCGGCTGTGGGCGGTCCTCCGTCCACCATCGGCGAATTGGCACTGTACTCTGGCGTGGCATTCGATCCCACCTTAAGGATCAGCTTCAGTCCTCGCTGCAACTGAGCCGGATCCTGGTGCTGACTGTATTCTATATGAAACAGGGAAAATATAAATATTAGATGAATTCATAATATTTTGAATCAGAATAGATAGTTATATTATGGTTACTTGCATATATTTTTTCTCAGTGTTTACATGCTCAACAACAAGCGGCAAAACGTTAGAGTGAGACGGCATGCGCCAGCAGGGGCTCACGTAGACGAAACACTTTGCGGACTTACCTTCATATTTTTCTCGCCGTTCCGACTTGTTCTTCTTGTGCTTCTTTGATGAGCCCATATTGGGGGCTAGTGCCGAGAGTAGTATCTTCTCAGTGACTCTAGAAATCAGGCAAACCGGTAGTGTTTGTAGGTAAAAAACGAAAAACAAAAATCCGGTGGCGAAAGACAGACGCCACGAGCAGTGTGACCGCAGGTTAGTTAGCGAAAAATACCAACGCGCATGGGAAAAAAGGTGTCAAAAGCTGGGTGTTTTACAACACATGAAGTTATCAATAAGGTATCGTAAACGCCAGCCCTGAACTTTAAATAAACGTTATTTTGTGTGTAAAATTTAAGAATTTGTATAAAAAGTTTTAATATAATCCAGCAAAGTCGCGATTAATTGAATATTACATTTGTACGGTGACTAGTGTCTAGAATATGCTACAAAGGTTAAGGACCCTAGTTTTTTACCTAATAAGTAAAAAATATTTTCAGCAAAATAAGTAAAGACGTCTTGCAGTATACAAACAAATTGGAAAAAAACAAATTAAAAAACAAACCAAACAATTAAACAAGTGGTAAAACACAATTTAAAACATATTTATTAAAGGCCGAAAATAATACTTAAAAAATATTTAGGTTATCACCTTCGAATCCAAAATTTAAAAATTCTTCACAACTTGAATTGCTTTCAATTTTATTATAATAATTTAGGGTCATATTATATAAATTTTTTTATTTTCCCTTAACGCACGCGGCGCTTGAGAATGGGAGCCTTTGTGGTCAGAACGCTCTGCCGGTTCTTCGGGATGGCCATCAGCCTAACCTTTTTTTTCAGGCCAGAACGGCGATGGCTCGAGGAGGCCGTGCTGGCCACGGACTTTTGCGGGGTGACTGCCTTTTTCGGAGCCGCCTTTTTGCCGGGACTGAAAAGGGTGCGAGTGGAGTTCAAGCTCTGCAGGGAAGTGTCCAACTTGGTGCGAATCCTGTCCAGATCCGCTCGCATCCGCTGGATGTCCAGAGCAATGGTCCGCCGATCCCTTTGCAACTTCTTGTGCTGCAGCAGCATGGTCTCCAGTACGTTCTTCTGCTGCATAACCTCTCGAATCCGGCTGTGTTGGTCGAAGGTCGTGGCTCCCGGCTTCGTTCCGGTGGATTTGTCAGGGAGTTTCGAAGAGTTACCGCCACCCTTTATCCGGCCGGATTTGCTCCTCTTCGGATGCTTCGACACCAGTTTCTTTTGCAGAGGTGGTGCTTCTACTGGCGGTGCAACCGGAGTCGGCGCAACGGGCAACGGCACCGTTCGCCGCGGCCTTCGAGGATTACGAACCGCTGAGAAAAAAATTGAATTTTAACATTTTGAATGAAATTTACAAACCTCTTGGGATTTTTATAGGTATATATAAAATAAGTTACTAGCTACTTATACATTATCACAAAGATGAACCAAATTAAATTAAATATTTCAATTAAAACCTTATTGGTTTAAAAGTGTCCTTTACAATGTTTTGCAATTTTAATAAAAAAAAGATTAAATTAAGAATCATAATATCTTTTAAGATTTCCACATTTTTGGGACTTGTTCCAAAAACTAAAAATGTTTTTAGTTTATATGGTTGAAAGACCGAGTGCTGTAAGAAAGTTTGAAAAATTCGGAGATTTTGGGACCCCCTGGGTCCGCCCCTGGACTTGTTGCAAGAAAAGGCTCATAAATAAAATCATTAAAGAATCTCAAGAAATTTTGAATAAATGCCACAAAGAAATTTTTAAGTTCTTCAAATATTCTTCGTTATACAAATGATGTATCCCACTCGAAGGCTTACCCTTCATGGTCGCGTGAATCCTTTGCACCATATTGTCGTAGGTTCTGCTAGTGTCGGGCATTTGGTACTGAAGCGGCATTTGGGACGATCTCAGCGAGGCCTTGACCTTTTCCCGGCTGTTTATCAGCGACATCCTGACCTTTTCGTTCTCTTCCCGCTCCCAGTCCCTCCGCATCTGGGTGGTCAGGATGTGGTGCAAAGCCAATCGATTGGTCATGGTAACGCTTGTCGGGAAAGCTTTTTTCTTGCGATTTCGAATTTCGATAGCTAATTTTGATGGCCAAAATGGTGAAAACAAGTAAAAACCTATTTCCTTTTAAAAACGTTTCCACATTTTAGAATTTTTAAAAGTAATTCTGACAAGTTCCGACTAATTCATGCTAAGGTAAGTTTGATCAAAAAAGTCAAACTAATTACAATCAATACTCTTATAATACACGTGTAAAAGCGAATACTGTATTTGTTAAAAGTATGTACAAGTTCGAGGGAAGAACTTGTGACCTCATAAAACCCCCATATCTAAATCATAAACTAAATCACAAATTAATCTATCTCAGTCTGTCCGTCTGTACGAGCGTTGAGATCACGGGAACTGAAAAAGCTAAAAAAAAATTTGTTCGCATACAAATTTAGATTCTTGTAATTCGTACACGGCGCAAGTTTGTTTCATTATTGTGTCACGCCCACTACTACTCCCGCAACTCGTAGAAAACTGTGGTGCCGACAGACCAAATTTTTTTTTTATATTTACAAGTTTATTAAAAGCCAAAACTATTATTGCTAATTCCCTTTTTTTCGTATCGATCATACAAATACCAGATACAGTAATTAATTTGTTCGCCTAGTATAATTTAGAATTGAATAATTTGTTATTTAATAAAGCTAACTATTTAACAGATTCGTCTAGAGATGACTGTTGATGTTTTTCCGGGCCAACTGGGCATAAATAGTGCCGTGTGGCTTGTCCACTGGGATGAAAACCTCGTTATTATCACCTGGAGCAATTTTCTGGAACGGCTTCGTATCGAAATTGAAGTAGTGCTTATTGGGCATGGTCATTGAGATGACGGACACCTGCGGCAGGACATCCAGGACCTGTCTTTCGCTGAGATACAAGGTGTGCTGAACGGAGGGCGAGGATACGCCCACCTGCGGATCACCGGCAAAGTTACGGATGATAATGTTCTTCACCGTCTGCCAGGCCTTCAAAAAGTCCAAGTTTTGGGTATCAGAATACTCCCAGGAGCAATCGACCACGGTGCTGAAGATGCGATCGTATTGATCTGGCAGAGATCTGAACTCATCGTTCACAAAGTTCACAAAGGAAGATTGGGTAGTCTTCAGCACTCGAAGACCCTTGATTCCAGTGATGACCGTTTGTTTGGGATCTATGTAGAAAAAATTAATTAATTAAATTTTCCTATTATTTATTTATAATAAAAAAAAGTTAATTTTAGCAATTTGTTTATTTTGCTAATAGAATCTTGTGGAAAAAAAGTAATTTTAATGCATGTAGGATCTATTACGTTGTGAATGTCAAATAAAATTTGTATACCTTGACTTTGATTTAATAAGGATTTCTGTGGGATCTCTAAATGAATTTAATTCTAAAAAAAAAATTACTAACCTGTTCTCCTCATAACCACATCGCAGTAATGCAGAGCGGTGGGCGTGAAAATGAAGGCGTGGTTGTGCAGCGATCGGTTGTCGATTGAAGTGAAGTCGCAGCTACCGGGAACTCCGTTCTCGCACTTGCCATTGATGGTGGTCTTGGTCTCATCCTGGCACACCCGCTGCCAAGGATACGCCTCCACGTGGACGTGGGCCTCCTCCACATGAGAGTACTTGTTCATGAAGTGCTTGGCCAGCAGAAGAGCGAACTTTTCGGGACTCTCGATTCCATGCTTTTTGGCCAGCAGATAGACGGTGTTCTTTTGCGAATCGGTGGCCACAATGTCCGAGTTGTTGCCCTGGTAGTAGTCTTTCTTGCTGTAGAGCTTCAGGTGGGTGCCCACCTCGAATTCCTGGATGGTGTGCACGGGTCCCTTGCGACTCACATGGAGGATCTTGACCGCATCCTTGCCGTATCCGTGATCGGTGATCTCGTACTGATACGGCTTATCGTGGCCATCCATGCCAGGTGCCTTGTTTTGGCCTTGGCTCATTGAACTGGGCTGTCGGAGGGGCGTGGCAAACATTCTGACTGCAATCACTCTCACTCTGCTACTGATGACCATCACAGCTCCATTCGTTGTTTTTATAGCAACAAGGTCTGGGTGGCCCCACTTTTATCAGTGGATTTAGGGATTTCATTAGTGAATTTCGTAGAAAGCCAGTTAAGAGCTCATATATCAACACTCTCACTTACGGATTTCAAGATATTACCGTCTTAGTGACTAGTTACACAGATAATGACAAAGACTAAAAACCTCATCTCTTGTATCTCGTTTGCACTCGACGTTCCTAGCCAAAACTTTTTGCATTTTTTGGAAAGATAAGCATATAAGCCAAATCTCATTTCTTGTATCCCGTTTGCATTCTACGTTTCTAGCCAAAACTTTTTGCATTCTTTTTATATAATTAGATAATGCATTATGGCTCTCTGATGCAATACGTGCTTATTAAATGATTAGGATGTTATCTCTTTTATTTGGCCCTCACCAGAAATTTTAAAAGACCTAGAAAGTTTTTTTACAAGCTAAACATTTTTACCAAAAATTGTATATTTCGCAATATTGGGAAAGACATGTTTATTTTAATATCACACACTTGTTCAGATAGCATAGTTTCTACCAATAACGTATAGCAAATAACAAAAACGCTTGCCTTGTAGAAGTATAAATCCATCATTGCAGTGGATGAATATTAGCATAAAGACAACATTTTTAAGAAGTTTGGTTATTGCTAAACCTTTTTATTAATTAATTTTTTAGAAAATTTTTAAACAAGAACAAAGCTTTAGGTGCTTAAATAAAAATGGAATCTTGTTAAAAAGCATTTTTGAAACTGCTTTTTTCCCCCATTATATTTGAAAATTTTTTTGAACTCGTTATAAAAAAAAGTAACCCAAAACAACTTAAAAAATAGTGGAAAATATTTGAAAACTTTTATTTTTTTATTACGTTGATGGTTATAAATAATTTCAATAAAAGAAATTCTTACCGGGTATAGATAAGGCAAATTTGAAAAAAATTAAACGGATTACCTTGCATTATATGAGAATAGGGAAAATAATACATATATAAAAACCAACACCTTTTAAGATCGTTAAAGCAAACTAATAAAATTGTGATCAGATCAGCATTTAGAACCTAATGGGCATTTTAGAGTTTACAGCTCCGGATTTTGATGATCCCCAAACTAATTTCATGTTTTATTGAAAAACACGTACTGCACAAGCTTAGTGTTAAGTCATTTAATGCATATGCAAACAAGAAAGATATGCCAGAAGTTGTTTGCCACTCTTCTAACTATTTTTTTTGGAGTCCCCGAAATCTTTGTTTTTGGCTAACTTCATATAAAATTTTTATCAGAAGAAGCTGCGGACCTTTAGCCAATCGGCTTAGTGATAAGCCGGTTTAAGCCACAACAAAACAAAAAGCGGCAGATCTTTCAAGAAGAGATATTCGAGTATGATGTCAAAAGCTGTTTATTTGTTCGACACGGTTTTTTGGGAGCGTGCCTTGTTTGCCCAATGCGCTCCCACGATCAAACATATTTTGTATTTTTGTTGGCCAGTTATGTAAGTTCCGTTTTTGGTTAAACTGAGTAAAGGAAATGAGGTGTGAATGTTTGTCAAACGAAAGCAAAGATAATAAAATATACAATAAGTATTTATAAAGAGTCAAGCTGAAGAATAATATTTGAACTGGAGTGCTTACTGCTTACGACTTATAAGTGCGCCAAATAATCATTTTAAGGGTAGCAATTGTTTTTATGTTTTACTGATATGATAAACTATATGATCTTGATGATGACATACCATAAACAAGTTGAGAACCCTGGCGTATGATTCATTATCTAAGAAATTTCGCCAGGAATGTAACCTAATGGATTGCCACTTTTATGAAGCTTTTGGCACCTACAAAACTAGTTGGCCATCCGAAACTTTTCGCCTGCGGTTCATCGAACTAAAACGCGACTTATGAATGAGGTTTTTTGAGACAAGTGAACGCTTTTGTTGCGCACTCCACAAACAAAAGTGCAAATTGTTTTCCAGTGAAACCTGCGACGCGCCCATGTAAATGTTACTTTTCTTTCAGGCAAACATCGTTTTTGAGTTGAGTTTAATAAGTTAGTTGCGTTTTCGAGCGCGTTGCCAACGGACGGATATAGAAATGGAGCTGGCAGGAATCCTAGTTTTAGTGCTGAGTGTTATCCCTTTGGGCTGTTGGTGTGCTGTTCACGATGAGTTGCCCCAGTGCGGTTTACACGGTGTCTACAGACAGCGGCAGAGTCTCATAGAATCACCCAACTATCCGGATAACTATCCTGTTAACACCTGTTGGGATTATGTGGTGCGATCTCCTTACCGCTGCCCCACAAAGTTTCACATTCAGTTTCTGGACTTCAAGTTGGAACTCTCGGAGAACTGCAGTCGGGATTATTTGGCCATTGGATTGAATAACGATGGCGATGATATGGATGTCTTGTGTGGTCAGGTTCTGGGCATCAAGAAGTATCACACTCCCGATGGAATCCTGCGCCTGCGATTCTTAAGCGATGAATCTCCTTGGACGACAAACGGCGGCTTTCGATTGCTCATCACTCGTTTGGCCTGCGAAAGGGAGGATTTGGTGGCCAGGGGTTTGGATGAGGATGAGGAGGATGTGGATGTGGACACGGTGCAAGTGAGTGCCAAGTCGCCACCGAAGAAGCTGCATCATCACCACTTGCAACAGCAACCTGCACAACAGCAGCCAAATGAACCGTATTTTAACTTTACGAATCCAAATCGTTTGGGATTTAACTTGGGATTGCCTTCTGGTTTTGGTTATCCTGCTGGATTTTATCCTCCACCTACAGGCTTACCTCCTCAGGCATATCCACCACCTACAGGCCTACCTCCTCAACACGCACCGCCTTGTTTGCCCCAACAACAGCAACAACAAATATTGCAGCAACAGCAGGAGCAACAGCGATTCCTGCAGCAGCAACATCAGCAATATTTGCAGCAACAGCAACTTCTGCAGCAGCAACAATTGCAAATTCCACAGCAGCAACAACAGCAGTTGCAACAGCAGATCCTGCAGCAGCAGCAACTGCAGCAACAGATCCTGCAGCAACAGCAACTCCACCAGCAACATCCGCAGCAACTTCAACTGCCGCAGCAGCAACAGCAACAGCAAGAGTTGCCCCTGATTTCCGATCAGTATCAAACGACGTCCTTTCAACCGCACACTGTAACCCTCAAGGATTACGATTCGCAGACTTTGCAGCAGTTCGGTGGTCAGGTGGATCTCTGCTGTGCCAGCAGCTTCAACCAGAATCACTTCTACCTCTCAAGTCCTGGATTTCCAAGAACTGTTTTCAACTACTTGCTGCCCAATCAGCAAAGGGATTGTGTCTTCTACATTGAAAAGAGTTCTCCGAATGTCTGTCGCTTGAGGATACAGTTCAAGTTCTTTGATCTTGGACAGAATTCAGGAGGTGCTTCGATTGGAGGAAGTTTTGGCGGGGGAACCGGAGGAGGAGTTCCTGGAGGAGGATTCCCTGGCGCCTTTGGAGGTCAACACACCTGCAATGGCGACTTCCTGGAAATAGATGGCCAGCGATACTGCGGCTGTCGTTCGGGATATGTCCACAAATCGCATTGGGATCAGGGTCGCAAGGCGTTGCGCATGCGAATTGGACAATCGAGTAGCACCACATCGAATGGCTTTCTGCTTGAAATATTCCAGGATCAGGACTCCGATGGCTGTCGACAGGATGCAGGTTCTGGATTCGGAGTGGGCTTGCAAGCGCAGCAACCTCAAAGAGGTTTGGGTTTGTGGCCCCAAGTGGGTTTGCAACCACAATTGGGATTGCCGCCACAAACACCTCAGATATGGCAGCCTGGATATCCTGGTTATTTAGGTGGTTATCCTGTACCTTTTCCGGCAACTCCTTACCGAACAACTAGAAGGATTTCCTTTGCCCGTGGAATCGATGCCCAGCAACCTTCGAGGATTGTGGAAACAAATTCAACCCGCAAGGAATTTTATTACTTCGATGGCGATGAGGCCTTCGCACGCTCAGCTTTGGATGATGGGGATGAGGACAAGGCTCATGTGGGGGTCACAACCCAACCACAGTCAGTGTCTCAACCCAAGATTGATTCGCCAGTGGTTACGAAAGCCTTCGAGCAAAGCAGTTGCTCCTTCGATTATATGGAGGTCCTTAAACTGTCTGTCGACTCTCTCTGGTTGACAAAACCCTTGTGCTTCTCGCCTCTGAGAAGCTGGTTTCCCAACATATTTGGCTAACTAAATAAACAATAATTTTATGTAGCTGAATTTTGTTTAACAATGTGAAAAAACTACTGAGCCAATAAAAAAAATTAGGAATATTAAAAAGGAGTTTAAATCAACTTTTTCAGCATAAAAACACGAGAAAGTTGTATCGCTTATAAAAAAATGTTTAAAAAAATGTGTTTATTCCTAACTCATTTCTCTAATAGCACTAACTTTCTTGAAATGATTAATAGTTGAAACGAAAACACCCAAACTAATGCTTCCTGGTTGAGATTTAATTTCATTAAAGTACGTTATTAATACAGCCATTATGTGTCATGTAACAAACAATGATTTTCCTGTTTTTTGCATCAATCTGCGATCTTGGCGTTTGTATCTGTTTTTGGGCAATTGTGTTGACGTCATAGCGAGCGTATGAAATAAATAAGATAAAGAATGCCTCTTTTCACTCCGCTTAGTCATCCGCCGGAGGTTTACACGCTCGGTGGTCATTACCAGCTGGAGGCACGAGTTCCCTCACCCTAATCTATACCCACTCCTAAATGCCACTCTTCCGCTCCGTTGTCATCCGCAGAAACAGATGCTATCCAAATAGATAACCACGTTGCCACAATTGTTGTCTCAGCAAACACTGGGCAATAGTTGGCCCAGAATCTCAGCTCCATTGAACCTCAAACTCAATGTCAGGGTGGCGCATTCGCACTTCCGAAGGTGTTAGTTTGTCGACTCGTTTACAATCGCAGTACTTATGCGGAAATACAAAGAGTGGGGTTTGTGGTGGAAATGGCTTGTCAAGGTTTTTGGAAAAAGTTCTACGGAGAATTTTGTTAACCAGTTTCTAGTTAGTATAGTATATAAAATTTTGCAAACTAAAAATGATAGAGAAGAAATCCCTTTTTATTTTTAAATGAATACTGAACAGATTACCTTTCCTTCGCCACAAGTAAAATAGAATTTACAAACTATTTTTCTATAATTAGTTTTTCCTACTAACTTTAAAGTTGTTTTTTTTTTCTTAATCATCCAGATAAATCATCTTGTTGTGGGGTTAAGTACTTGGGACTATTTAAATATTTATTTAGTATTAAAGATGTTTTTCCAACAAGGCATCTACCGACCCTTTACGTCAATTAAAAGACTCACTATCTCCGTTTAATTGCCCAAGAATAATCGTAACTGGTAAGTTTATTTGAAATATATATATTTCTCGACTTTACATTAGAGATAGTTGCTTTCAGTAAGTAGATAATACGTACACATATTAATATATTTCCATATACTCGTATATACACATTGATATAGCATTAAGTTGTATGGTTCCATTCGTAATTTTATAATACTAGTTTCATGGACCGAGAGACGTTACGAGACTTTCTAGTGATATGGCAACGTTTTGCAATTGTATGGATTAGCACACACACAACGACCACAAAAAACTAACAAGGGGTGCTACTACAACTTCGTTTATTTAGTTAGTATATACAACACATTGAGAGTTATAAAAGTTTTAATCGCCTACAATTAGAATTAGGGTTGGGGCATTGGGGTTGTGGCGTTTTAATTGCCACACAAGGGGCTATATTCCTACCAGACAACAAAGTGTTTCTTTAAATTAGTTCGTTTAGTTGGGTAGTTAGTTAGTAAGTTAGTTGGTTAGTTGGTTGGTTAATTGGTTAGGCTAATTGTTAGTGCTTGTTGTTCTCCAGTTTGGCGCTCGACTTTGTCAGCAAGAATGTACAATTGATGCTTTGGTATACATATGTGTCTGTCAGTGTCCTGTCGGTGTTTTTGTTATTGTTTCGTTTTGTTGTTGTTGTTGTGTATCAGTGTAATGTCCACACATCCTTCGACTTAGCCCAGGAACCTAATGTTGGTGAAGACCGCCTTGGCAGGACGCTTGCGGTTGCAGAAATTAACCGTCTTGCTGTGATTGCCCTTGCGATTCTCGTGCAGATTGACCAGCAGCTTAAAAATATCCTCCTTACTAGGCGTACAGGCATATCGCAATTCCGGTTCATAGTTGCTGTTGATAGAATTCATGTAAGAACTGATAATGGTAATAGTTATGTAGTTAGCAAAATCGTTCACGTTTTCGGCTATCAATAATATCGATCTCTCTGTGGGCGGTTGGGGATTCTGGGTGTCTGGCTTTTTCGGGCCTAAAGAGACTCTGATAAATGCATTACAGTAAGTTGTTCATGGTTAGAAGTCTACTAAGGGTAATGGCGGGGAAGCTCCTCAAATTGCCAGGATTGCTTTGCATATTTCTTTCGCCAATTTTAAGGGTCATGCTTTTATCCATTGAAATGTTATCAAATTGAATTTTACGGATTTTTGCTTTGTAAGAAAGACACTTTTGTAGTCAGCCACAAGTAAATACTTTAAAAGCAGACCCTCATTCTTGGGTTAAATTCAGCTAAAGTCAATATAAAATTCATTGACTTGTTTTGGCATTTTGAAGATTTCCGGTTAAAGCTCTAAAAATAAAGGATTTAATTCTGCGTAGGGGCTACTGACAACATTCACTAACTACAAATGATAATTGGGTTTGAATAATTAGCAATCGCTGGAACTCATTACAGTGCTGATGGGGATTTTTGGATTGGACTTGTGGAGGTGTGGGTGGAATATGTTTGGAAAAACAACCTACCCGCGATTCTTGTTGTGGCGCTTCCACGGATACCTGCGATAATAACGCGAGCGTTTCGGCTTGCTCTGGCCCAAAACCAAATCCTGAACTGCGTTCTCCAGGTCGGCGTAGTCCTCGGCCCCGGCGGAAGGAATCACCGCCTCCGGCTCTTCCTCCTCGACGTACACCAGCGGCAACGTTTCCAGTGAGGGATCCTGGATTGAAAATAAGTGCACAGAAAAAATATTGACATAAATTTGTGGGTCATCAAATTAATTGTTGAGAAGGAAACATAAATCTATTTACATTTTTGTAGAAGAGAAACGCAAACTAAATTTAAATTCTATAATAATTATGTATATGTATTATATCAAATTATAACAAATTTTTCATTACTTTAAAAACTAAATTTTACGCACAATTAAAAATTTCTTTAACTTTTTCTTGTTAACACTTAATAAAGAAGAGCGTTTAAAAATGAATTATTTTTATAACCAAAAAATGTATTTAGATATTTATTCTTAAGTGACTTTTTTTCCTTAGAAAGGTAAAATATCATTTAATCAAATCAATACAATACATTTACATTGCCTAAGTTGGTTTTTTAACCAAAGTTACCAATACCTATTTTATTTTTTTTTTGGTTTAACTGAACCCTACAAAATGTTATGATTTTGGGATTTTACTTTATATGCAATTTAATTTTTCCAAAAAATAAAAGCATTTAATCGATTTTATTTACACTTTCAAATTAATTAAATTTCAAGTGTAGTTTTCTCTGTGCAGGGCATGGGATTTTTCATAAAACTTCCCATTGTCTTTTCATTGCCTTTTCACTCACCTCGAGCATTTTCATGAGCAAAGCGGATTTGTCCACCAGTTCCTGCTCGGCCCGCAAATCCTCCTCCATCTTCTTGAGCACCTCGAACTTGCTGGCCATTTGGAGTTCGTTGTAGACCGCGTCGGAGAATTCAGGCCCCGGTGGAACAACCGCCAATCCGTCGAGTTCCTGGGCGCGTAGTAATTCTGCCGTGAAATGAGCAAACCAAAGACCTTACTTGCGATTTGAATGTTTATTGAAGCTGTCGCTAATCCGACCACAGCCACGCCATTTCTATTCCATTTAAATGCCCGTCTCCTCGCCACCAGAAACTTCCGCCGCTTGATATTTGAAAGTTCGAATAGTTTGTTTGTCTGTTCGTCCGTCTGGTTGACTGTTCTTCCCCGGCGGCGCTGTCGTTTCAATGAACTGGCGGAAATTGACTGGCGGCAATGAGTTTATGGCTACTGAATGCCCCCTCTGGCGCTTCCCTCCCTTTGTGGGCCTTCTCGACCACGTCCGTCAGTCAAATCAGCAGTCACTGCAACTCCTTGACTGCCTTTTGTCGCTTTTGACATCCAGTCTGCCCATCACTGTCCACTTGGGGCCTTTTCACAGATTCGCAGACGGATTCTATAAGCCCACGCAGATAAAACCACTAAGTGGTCAGAGATTTAAGAGCCTATTAAATTTCTTTCCACCTGCGAAACTGAAACTTAATTCGGCAAAATTTCATGTCAATGAACTTGATTATTTTTATTTTGAAAAGCAATTAAAAAGGTGCCTTATAATTTAAGGTATGAGAACTTTATTATATAACAACTTTTTGAATATTTAAAGACTCATTTAACAAATAAATGAAAAGGGGCAGTTGGTTAAATGATTACTTTTGAATATTTAGAGGTCCTAAATGTGCCTTAAGGAACTTTGATTTAGCTTGTGATTTATTTTGTTACTATTAAATTGATTAAATCTATAAATAATTATATCAGAGATACAACCATCTTTTTCCTTTCACAAAACATCACCCAAACCCCAATAAATTCACACCTAACCTGTGGAAGTTGAAATGCTCCCATTCTGCCAAATCGTTTCTGTTAAATTTCCAATCCATTTACTCATGTATCAAATCACTTGGAAAACAAGTTCAGTTATCGCAAATCCGATATGACATTTCATTGCGGGTTTGGGGAGCAGAGGACTTGCCAAGGCAAACGTCGAATCAAATTCGTCAACAAATTTGAAAACCTATCCGCCTCGGTTTGGTGGGCGTGTTAAGTGCTTTGTACAAACACATGTTCCATATTGTGCCAGGACAACAATTTCGAGGCACTTCAAAAATTGTGCACTGACCGAAAATGCTCGGCCACCATTCACCATTGACCATTATGGATGGTTGGCGGCGGTTCTGGCTAAGTGCATGCCATGTTTTTGGGCAACAGAATTTGGCTACAGATGAGATAATAGCGCCATAAAGGATTTCTGGAAACCAACCTTTTATGCACATTCAACAATGTGTTGAATAGGAATTCTTTGTTATTTATTGTTGCGTAAGAGAAGTTACACAGATGTTCCTCGAATTGTGTTATTTTTTGTTAGCACTTTTAAATACATATTGAGTTGATATAACCGGAACATTGAAGTCAATATAAAAGTTTAACATATGTGTTTTCCTCTAATTGACTTTATATTTTTAAAAATATTTTTGAATTCATTTTAACATCTTGATTTAGATTAAATCAAACATTTTTAGTTCCTGGATTTTCTTGCTCCCAGTAGACTAATCTTCAGAAAAAATATAATCTTCAGCGAAAACCATAACAATTTCATTTTAGTGGTCTTGGGATACAGAAGATATTTTCTTGTTCGCTTGAGGATTAGCGGATGCCTTGGAAGTTAACTCACGGTCAGGGCGACAAATGCAAGAAATGCGGTAATAGGGATGTTTACGACTTACCATCGCCAGGATCGTAAACAGCTCGTTCCTGGGCCTCCTGGACATCCAGCGAAGGAGGTCCTTGGCGAACGGGTCCTCCTCCGACCCCGAAAACAGGCAGATGCAGGCGCTGTGGCCCAGATGCAACGCCCTGGTGGTCGCCCACTTTCTCCTCGACTCCGGCTCCTCCATTTGTGGATGTCTGGGAAGTTAGATAGCCGACGACGTGACGTGTCCCGCTGCCCAGGATCGTGGTTGCCAGGATGCAGAAGGCGAGAATGTCGGTCTTCATGGCGGTGTCTCTCTGTTTATACAACCTCTCCGGATGTTTTGCGGGATTAATGCGCGGCTCGTCGTCGATGGGGATGTCTCTGCAAGGCGAAAAGCGGAGATGTATGTACACGACGGTAATTACCATCACGACCATTTACTGGGCAAGGATCCATCCGCCCATATTGTCCCATGCACCATAGCCACCACCCGCACCACCCCCGCCACCATCCAAAATGCTGCGTGTGGGTGGCTCTTTGTGTTTATGCAAACAATACGCATATAAGCACGCAAACAACCGAGAAAACCCAACAAAAGTGAAGTCCGCGGAGCAAAATGGGGGGCTCACGTCAGAAGGCGTCTCTTAGATAACTTGGCGGCTGATTCTTGGGCTTTTGTTTCGCGACGCTTCTTAATCTTTCTTCTCGCGCACCACTGTGGTGCAAGAGGTCGTGGCAAAATTTTAATTAATTATCAGTCCGAAGCCTTTAAGCAGGTTATTTCAATTTTCACAGCTTGGGAAATTTAAAATTTGTTTTAATTTCGAATATTTTAAATCAAATTTAGAGATGCTTTTCAGATTGAATTTTCAATAAAATTAATTACAAATAAGTTACCAAGAAACGGGAGTAATATTTTTATGTTTGAAAAAATCGTTAAGCTCTTTTCGGTCGAAATCGAAAACAAATCTGATAAAGATGTAGTTATTTTATTTTTTTTTGCTTTATTGAGTGTATAGGCCTGGGTTTTTCCTTTTCAACCACTGTACGCTAGGTGTTTTTGTATTTTTATTAACATTTTTTTCAGGTACTGTAGCAGGGTTTCATTGAAGGTTCGCTCTTGTAGGCTTTGTCGTTTCATTTAATTAAGTATGGGTTGACGTGGGCGCGTGGGTTTAACTCTTTCGCTGCGTATTTTCAGCCCATTAGCCATGGCCCATGGTTGGGGATCTGAGTATATTCCCAACCACTGGAAAATTGCCTCCCTTATTACTTGTTTTTTCTTTTTAAAAAAAATCCGCTTGACGAGCAATATAAATGAGCTGCTTGGGGTTCTTGGCACTTGCGGTCTCAATGGTTTAGATGTCTAGGATCATCCTAATTTGTTAGCCAAGTAACCGAATAAAAGTTTGCTTAAGAAAGTGTAGATATAGAAGTGTGAGGATTTTTGAAAGAATATTAGAAAATCATTATTCAAAATGAGAAGCTTAAATTTGCAGAAAATTTATTCAATACAAAAAAATAACTCTTTAATATTTTCTTAAAGCTTTACAGAAATAAAAACACATTTTGCATAAGCTTTCGTACAAAAAGAAATAAATCGAATTGTCCCAAATGTGTGCGGTTAATTAACCATATAGACCTGGCTAAATAAATCAACTTGGCCACGCCCAATCGAAGAAAAAGAAATGTTCAGCATTCGTTTTGCACAGTTCAATAAATATTTCTGAAGGCAGGGGACTTTTCTGTTGACAATTTCTTTTACCGTTTTCTGTCACGTTTTGATTAAGTTTGATTGAAATTTTCAACTCAACTGGGAGAGTTATAATTTCGTACAAATATTTGAAAAAATTTTCAGACTTCGATAATTTTGTTGTTTTAAATTCTTAAAGTGCATTGAAATTGTTCCTTTTCCTTAATTTGCACCATAAATTGCAATATGCTTCAGGGCATTTCCTGCAGAAACTTTTTCAATTACTTCGCCGTTATTGGCACTTGAAAAAGTAGGCAACACTTTTGGAGCTCTTTTTAGGGGAGCCAAAAACTTGTTCGAAATTCTTAAGGAGTGAAACAAATGAGAAACAAACAAAGCGGACACGAATCGCTGTCAAAATGCTTTAATTAACTTGTTGACACAATGTCATGAGGTGGACCGAACCAAAAAAAAAAGGTTCACCCTAGATAGCGAAGTCCCCAAGGTAAAATAAAATTAATTTAGCGGCAAGGGAAACTATATATATTTGTGTCCATTTTTACTCGACGCTTGGTTTCTTTTTGTACACGTTCTTTTTCCGCAATAAACGCACGGCTAATTGCTAAATTGAGTCAAGGTGTAGCTGAAATGGGCCCAAACGCAATGGAATGTAGGCCTTGTCGTTTACTGAATCCACCTACGAACCACCTGTCAGGTGAAGTGCAAAAACTGCTTAATTAGCGCAAAGGATGTGGAAAACACAGCTGGGAAAGGGGAGTTGGTCGAGTGCATCTGACATTTGTCGCCGGATTCCTGCCAATTAGACACGGGCTACTTGTGTAATATTCTGGGAAAGTACACAATATCACATCACTTATTGAATTTTACCAGCTGTGCCGAAATTTCGTCACAAAAGAACCAAATCCACATTTTGTTTGCAAATGGATTTTGAAGGACAATCAGATGACCAGACGTAATATTTGGGAAGTAACTTTTGAGGAAGGGTAAGTTTCACGCTAAATGCAAATCCAATATTCAAGAACAAATTTAATAATATTTTTACTTTATACTTCAAAATTAATTTAATTTTTCTTGTAATTTCAATTATAATTTGAATACATTTTTTAAACAAAATGGTAGATTTAAGCATTTTACACAATTTTCTTTATATTATTTTAAGTTTTCATATTTAGCTGTTTGTGATTTCTTCTATACACAAAATTGGCTTAAGTTCTTTTATCGGAATTTAATAAATGAGACTCTGCTGTCAATAAACTAGTTCATTGATATACATTGGTTAGCCTTTCAAGATGACTTTAACTTGAACAAAAAATGCGAAATTGCCGGCGGTCTTTAATTCAATACCTTTGGAAATATCTTCCTGTTGCTATGCTCACAAAAAAACACAAGTTCACATGTGTAAATAAGGTCTCATGATAAAATCCTGTATGATGCTAACTTTTTCTGATAAAAAAAGCTTTGGAACGCATTGGATACTTGATGCTTTCGACTTTTTTCCTTGAGGATTTCTCGGTTAGTGCCAGGAATTTTCACAGGTAGAATTTAAGAGGTTTGAGACAGAGAAAGGGGTCAGTAAATAAAAATTGCTGGACAACATTTTCAGCAAATATTGGTGCTATTTTTATTTGTTTTCCAAAGACTTTCATTGGTTTATTTACGCTTGACATTTTGGCTTGACCTTGGTGGAAATTCCTTCGAGTTTTTGGCATTGATAAAATATTTATAGCTTGCTTTGCAGAAAAAATATTAAGACCAATTCAGGATCAATGATTTTCAAGTCCGCAACTTTCAATGAAATATATTTTGGAAGTTGCAAGCCGAATATAAGCAATTCTCTATTTCTCTAAAGCGTTTTGACTTAAAACAATATTCTGCTTAATTACAAATCTGAGTATTCTTTAAATATCTATAATGTTTTAAATTAGTTAATTTTTATAAAAAAAACTCACTTATTTTGGGACTTTCTTTAATGTTCAAATTGGAGCAATATGGATGTAAATTATAATTTTGTTGAGGCTCAAGCTCGCATTACTAAAAATTATTGAAATGAGAATTACTTAAAATTATTATTGTTATACTATAAGAAAAAAAAGACATATAAAAAAATTAAATGTTGATAAGCTAAAATATATCAATTTGGATTCTAATTTTTCATAGAATTGAACTTATTATTATTATTCAATTAAGAAGCCTTATTTCGAAATCACGTTTTTTAACGTCAGAAGTAATTGTATATTATATATATTTCTTGTAAATTTTTTTTTGGAAAAAAATCACAGTTTAACCACAAATTGTTTGATGTTTTTATGTCACATATTTTGTCAACTATTGACGACACAGTAATTGATGACGAAAGCGACGGCATTTCTAAGATTTCGCGTCACGTTTTGATATCCTTTTCTCAGAGCCGACCAAGTTTTACTTAAACACAGACCATAACCTTTCCAATAAGGTTTTGTTGGGGTTTTTTTTTTGATTAAATTAAATTTCGAAACACACTGTTCACTCACTTTAAAATGAATCTGGAAACCGATTGAATTGCCAAGCCAGAATCGTGCCTCTGGCAACTGTTGCTCCTACTACTTGTTGAACACTGCGTGGTCGACTCGGTTAGCCGCCTCCTTTTATAAGGCCGAAACCGATGTTAAACCCGATTCGCTATCGTCGACCGATGACGAGTGCGTCGTTTTTGGAAGAGCCGATGTTGAGGCGCCAAAAAATTGCGTAAAAGCTTCGCCAAGCTTTCGCTGGCCACTCCTCCTTGCAAACGAAGACATCGCAGTTTTTATCAATGAAATATTTGGGGGACATTTAAGAAGTTTAGCGCCTGCTCAGCGATATTGGCGAGTGAAAAATTTCACAGGCAATTATTTAAGAGGCGCGAGATATGCCCCACTAAGTAGGCAACAAGTCGCGAAATGGCGTCACGGACTTAACGCCAAAAGGCAAGGTGATAAATAATCCGGGGAAGGGCGTCTTTGTTGACAGTAGAGTTTACGGAACAATATGCCAACCGGACGCGTCATTTGATTCTCGGAATCTCGCCGTTCCTGTGGGTGTTTTGTGGTCCCAAAAGGAGCAAAAGGGCCGTGCATGACGATGCGGAAATCCTTGCAGCGCAAATCCTTCTATTAAGGTGGAGTTTGGCCAAATATTGGAAATTTCGGGGGAAATTTCGTGACATTGTTATTTGGATTGTGATATTAACGGAATTTTGCATTGTGCAATGATTCTATTTATAAATTGGTGATGAGCAATTAATGAATATTGTTTGGCTTGTTTATTTAGGTCACGCTGATAAGTAATACACGTACTGGTTACAAAGATAAAGATTCAAAGTTCAAAATGGTAACTACATACAAATATACTTAGTAAAATTTAATATAGCTTTTAACAAAAAACTAACCGATTGTTCAACTTAATAATAACTGACATTAAAACTCCAAATAATTTTATTTAAATAATTAATAAAATGTATGATAACAATTTTTCGAGATATTATTTTATTAAAAACTAAGGACCGCATTACTTGGTAATCTCCTTTAATTGTATTAAGTTTTGTATTGTTAGACATAAATTATTAAAAATATCAATACCATTAAATAAAATCATCCTTAATTCTTACTTTAACAGCCTTAAGTATTTTCTTTAACTTAAGTCTGAATTAGAGTAGCTTTCCCACACTTAATCGTCTGACTTATGCACACCTTTCCTCCACTCCCAGTTAAACTATATATCCAACGCAATACTGCAATCGCCGAGGAGGAATCGAGCGGCCAGGACATCCAGTCGGATGTCAACAACCGTCGCAGCCCCCAGGCCTTGAAAAAGATGACACTTTACGGGGAAATTGCTGTGAGTAATGGAGGGCAATCCAAGAGATTCCTCGATGTTTTCGTTATTGTTTCGAGGTTGTGTGTGTTGTTTTGGCCTAAAAGGCGGCCCAGGAAAATAAGCACATATAGGGTTTCTTTCCGATCGCCTGTGGCAACAGAAGATGACACTTACCCCAAGAAAACCAATAATAGCCCGCTGAAAAGTTTAAGTGCTCAAAGGCAGAGGGTGAAACAAACAGGAAACCCCCTCTGCTACAAAACGAAAGTAATATTTTTGGCCAAGAGTTCGTTATTTTTAGACCAGAGATGTTTCTAGACTCTTCTTTGCTTTGTGGTAAGCTGTTTATACGTCGTAAGTTGCATCAGGTAAGTTTCCACCCACTCAAAAGTCATTGATTCAATCGAATGCGTCACGGTTTTCTGAATTGGCATGTGAATCGCCGCATACGAGAATTTGGCGCGTCGCTCAAAGCTGTCCACGTGCTAAACAAATTGATAAGCAAATCAGCTCAGCTAATTACTCTGAGATTTATAGTCTGTGTTCCGAAAAATGATTTCACTTGAATCGAAAAATATGCCTAAGATTTTGCGGAAATCTGCGAAAGTTTTTTTGAAGTACTTTCTGCTTTGACTATATTTTGTTTTTTATTTGAATAAATTTCTCTGGAGGCAGTTACTCTAAAAATCATTTTATGTTTTTTTTGTATTATCTTTTGATTTTTATGTTTTTATTAAGGGTGGGAAATTACAGTTTGTTTTAATATAAACCTAAAATCTTTTGTTGAGCTAAACAAAATAATATAATAATCCCTTAAAGATAAAGTTTAAAAGGATAAAACAGAACTCTTACATTTTAAGTTAAAACTATTTAATTTTAAGTTTCGCCTTAAGCTTAAATTGAAACTTAACCAGTTTGGGTTTGCTAAGCATCGTTAAAGAAAAACCTACAAAACTTGGAAATCAAACGTTTTCTTTAAAGAAAATAAAACGAATGGCGAAATCGATATTCAGAACATTATCCCGCCCGCATATCTTTCCGTTCCGCACAGCAGTATCACTAGGCAAATATTTGTAGCATACTTGTCGGTTGGCGAGCAAAATGTGCAATTTGACTCACGGCTTTGCTTTTGGACTTTTCGGCCGCTTTATTATCATTGTAGTCATGCGGGCACTATCACCTCGTTACAGCTTTAATTAAACCCTATTGACAGTTATCAACCTAAGCGCTGAGATTGAGTGACAGTGGCGCTGACGTTTTTCGAATTTGCTCCTCTTTCGATGGTTAACAATTGCGACAAAAAAACTTAGGGCCTTCAACATAACGGACTTTCGCATAGTTTGGTGAAATATTTTGATTTCTTGGTAAAGTAACCAAGTATTTTTCCAAACTTTGTAAAACTCGCAAAAACTGTTGAAACGTTGCAACTTGTAAATCTTCCGGTTTTAGGCATTAACTGGTTCCAGCGCGTCGTGGTCCGAAGTGACTTCCATGTCCTGCTCCTCGCCGACCGCTTCCTCTTCGGCTTCTTCTGGCTCCTCCTCGATGATCTCGCCCATGATAATCTCCTCAGCCAGCTGATACAGCTCGCGAATGTCCTGCAATAAGAGAATAAATTAAAAACCCGAAAATACTTTTTCCAGTTACGTTTATAGAAAAAATAAACAACATTTAAGGCTTCGAAAAGTATCATATTTTAAACAACAAGAAAATTGTGTTTATAGAAATAAGATTAAAAAATATAAAAATTAAATATCAAAAATTAAACTTTAAATTTGAAACCAAATTTTGTATATTATAAATATTTTTAAATAATTTGTGTTTGGCTAATTATTATTATTATTTTATCACATAATGAAAATTCAAAAATATACATATTAAAGATTCTTAAAACCTAAAGAAATATTCAAAAATTGAATTGACTCACTTGAAATAGTTGTCAAACTTAAAAACGGGCTTTAAAACTAATATAAAGATTCAGTAATATAATTAGACATAAGTAAATACATATTAACAAATATACCATGAAAGGAACCTGAAGGCTTACAAGAGTATTATGCAACGGTTTTCCTAGCTCACCTTGGCATTCCTGAGCGCCACAATCTTCTCGTCCTCGAAGCGCAGCTGGTCGTACTGCTGCTTGGAGATGAGCAGACCCCGGTTGAACTCGTCCTCCATCTCGGTCTCCAGCTCCTCGGCGTACTGCTGCTTGGCCAGAGTGAGACTGATGGCGTCCTCGCTGATGATCGTTTCCTCGGAGACGTCGGTCACGTCGTCCAGGTACTTGGAGTGCGCCTCGCCCTGGTACTCGATGTCCTCCACCGAGGGCTCCCTTACTAGTTCCACGCTGGAGCGATGGGCATCCTCGATGAGTTCGGTGAGCTGTTGGGTGGTGACTGCCGTCTTCACATCCTTTAACTTATCCTCCAGTTGGTTGCGAATGCGCAGCTCCGTCTCCCGGAACTTTTGCCTAATTAGGGATTATGGCAGTGATTAGGTATCGGAGGTGTAACATATGAAGATGATCCCCACCTGGCCCTCACTATATTCTGTATATCCTGCGGATCCGATGAGAAGGGCTGAGAGACTCGCAGCGAACGCTCCTTCATTTTGGCACGCTCCTGTTCGAGGAACTCCTTAAGGCTCTTTTCGCACTCCCGCCAGTCCTCGTTGTCGATGCTGCAAAAGTGGGGGTTTTCCTTTCATTAGCCTCCGTTCCGAAGCGAACTCACTAAACATTCAACTCATGCATATTAATGGGGCAAAAAGGAACAACATTTAATAATGCGCTCGCGGAACGGGACGTTTCTATAATCATTCTGTGATACTCTTTCTTCAAAACGTTTGGAAAACTCACCAGACTAACCTGACTTTTAGTTAGAACCCTCTTAACTGATAATTTAATTTGTAAGTGCTTGTCTGCTTCGATTGTATTATCAAATAGATACTGAATTCTATTGGTGAAATACTATTTTCGGTTCGTTTATTTGTATTATAAACAGCTAGAATGGTTCCCAAAATATCCCACTACGGTATTAATAAATATTTATGGTAATTTATATATGGATCAGACAATAAAAAAAATTGATAATGTTCAGTCAATGAACTTAGAAGTTTTCTGTATGTACGGACCATTTCCTACGCATTAATTGCAAAATTATAAACTAAAGAAGAAAAAAAATTTAATTAAATGTAATATTATATTCAAGAAGTACTAGAAAATAATAATGAAAATTATTAAAAAAAGGGGAAATAAATACCCTTGAACATGCACTTTAAAAAGTTTAAATTTGTTAGACTTGTTTTTAATTATATACTAATTAAAAAAATTCGAACGTAAACTTAGTAAATTTATAGCCCAATGGATTTACCTTTAAAGCTGTGCACTTATTGTGTTTCGCTCTATTGTGACTTAATTCAACAGAAATTTTCCCCTGATATAAACGAATCTTTTCTGGGAATTTAGAGCATGCTGCCCTGCTGTACACTTTGCAGGAATTTCCATGTTAGCACCCACATTTAGCCACCCCCACCGAAGGCCGTTTAAGCCAGTGGGTTCATCTCTTTACAATACATGCATCTTGGCCCGCGCTTTTTTTTTGTTTCCCCAACTCGTTGGGGGATAAAGAGATTCCCCAGAAGGCGTCGAGCGTCAACGTGGAATAATGTATTGTTATCTTTGCCGCTGTTATTTTTTCCTCCTCCTGTACATTTTTAATTTTGCCGGCATTTAATGACGGCAGAGTTTAAGTGACTTACCGCAGCAGGTCCATTCCCCTTTCCGCGTCCTCAGCTCTATACTGTTCCACCAACAATTTCTGCTGGCGATGACGCTCGCGCTTCTTGGCCAAAATTTCGGCTTCTTTGGCAGCGTGTTGTAGGCGTTCTCGCTCCCATTTAACGCCCTGCAGCTTCAAACGCTCCGCATTCTTTTCACGAGCGGTTTTTAACTACAAGGAAGGTGTGAAGTTAAAAAGGGGTTTTTACTACGGATTAAACGCACCTTGGAGCGCTCTTTCTGGATCTCTATGTTGGCATCTTTGTTGACCATAAATATGGGATCGTCCGCCAGTTCGTCTGGTATCACATCTGATTTGCCCTCAATAATGAGCATTCGCTCGCGTTCGACTTCTTTTAACTAAAAGAAAACATTATTTTGTTAAATAATGAATAATTTAAAAATTTAAAATCTAAGATTTTACAATTTTTTTATGAGAGAATGGAATAAAGTACATAAAACCTACAGGCTTAAATAAATTCGCATAGAAGTATAAACAATAAAACCTTACACAGTATTAACCAACATATCTATTATTTATTGTTATTCTTAACAAAATTACATATTTTATCTTTTCAATAATATTCCTGTCAAAGGTTTCAGTTAAGCTAATATGAATTAAAGTTTTGTGTGTGCTGAAGTACATAAATAGTTTATCTAACAACATCAAACGCACTTATAAAATCTTTCCAGCTGGGAAAATGTAATAGAAGTAAAGCAAATTTATTAAGTGCCTTAGTTTCCTCATCCAATAATATCTTTTGATGGCAGACCAAGCCGTTGCCCCAAGAACAATTTCGGAACTTTATTAGCGGCTGGTCTGCGGTTGATATAAAAGCTAAATGTTTAGGAATGTGGGTGGAGCAAAGCTGCTTTGTGGTTTTTACTGATTTTTTTTGTGGGAAAGGAGAAGTTTTTGCTCTGTTTGTCTCTTTCAAGTTATCAATTTCCCAACCCCATTAACACCTACTGACACCTTTCAACTGCCTTTTTTTGCCGCATTGCGCAGCACTTGATGGAAATGCAATCGGAAGCGTCAGGAAAGTTTAGCCCATGGCCTCTTGTTTTATTTGAAACTTCAGTCAACTGCAATTGCATTTAAGGACATATCGGGCAGACAGATCTCTAAGTATCCGTATCCGCAGTGAAGCACTCTGTACTTCATAGTTTTGGCCCCTCGCATGTCTCACAGACATAAAAGACAACTTTTGCTATGTGTCTCCCCGGACTTCCCTCTGTTTCTGGTCTAATTTTTATTACTTTGACGGCTTGGATTTGCCATTTTCATGTCGGAGGCTCATTGGATTCAATTGTTTGTGCTTCGTCTTCGGAGGCCCCCTGCAAAAACAGAGAATAAGTAGGCGGTGTCGGCGTCATTGAAAAACTTTGGGACACTTTCGCTGCGCTCCCGTGAAAAGGGAAACTTGAAAAGGGTGAGCATGAACACAAAATCGCAGCCAATAAACAAGTGAAGAGTGTAAAATACACAGCTTAAGACTACGAAATACCGGATACGAATAAATTATGGAAAATTTTTGGAACCTAAAGGGAAGTGCGAAGTGAAACATTTACAAATTAGATAATTGACGCTTACGGATGCTTATAATCTTAAAGAAAAGGTACATTTTAAAAGGTTAAGCGGGAGAAGACTGTCTGCCGACTTTCGCTAGGCTTTTTAGCAATGGCTCACATGGTCCTGCTTTCTTCTTTTTTGCGGTTCTATATGGTAAATAGGTATTTTATTTCTACATGCTATAAAGCAACTTAATGCAGGCAGGTCATGAGACTTGTGTACTCATCTAACAAACATAAACCCGCACTCGTGCCATTTGAATTCGGAATACCATGGGGGATTAGTCAGTTCTAGTTAATGCTTGTCGTTTAGTTGACAATTATATGGGGTAGTTTCAAGGAATTGCCTGACTGCGGTTTCCTTTTTTCTTTGTGGGGTTTTGGACCAGAGAATCCGCAATGCGTTGCGTAATTTCTTTTATAATTATTTTTTCTTTAAGAATTTAATGTAAGCTCAATGCTGCAAATGTATTCAACATATTCAGTTCTAAATTTATTTTAATATCAATTTATTGGTAATATTCTTTTTAACTAATAAAAATATAAGATTCACCTCTTTATTGCCTGGAAAACAAATCTTTACACACTCTTAAATCTATTATAAAACCACTCAAACTCTTTACATAATTTTTTTTTTAAACGCATGTAACCCAATCAAATCTTTACACACACCCTTACTTAAAATAAATCCACTTGAGTTCTTTAAAATACTTCTTTAAAAAACGAATACTACCCACTCTCACCCTAGTCCGTTGTTGTTCTACGTGACTCTCCCTGGCGACAAATTTGTTTAGGCCCCTCGTCTCATATTTTGCCCTTTTCTAAACTTTATGAAAATTGAATTACCAACCAAACAAATTGGTCACATTTGTGTCTGGTTTTTTTTTTCGGGCGGTTAATTGGGGTGCCCGGATTTGGAGTCCCTAAAAAATATTTCGACTCACCTCACGGGCGCGAATGCGGGACAGCAGCTGTTTGCGGTAATCCTCGTCGATCCTTTCCCGGAGCTCCTTCATGTAGGCGCGGTCCGTCAACTTGACCACATTGGTGCCCATCAGACGCTCCAAGCGGGCGCTAATGCGCGGCAAATTGAAACTACGAAAGGAAAAGTGAGCGGAAAATTCAGAGCGAGATTTCAAATGGAAAGAAAACTGTATAAAAATAATAATAATGAAAGAAACAAATGGGGGACAAGTCAATGTTAATGACCCACCCAAATGTAAGTCAATAAATTTGACGCTTAATTACAGGCTCAACCTTTGCCCCGCCCACTCACCCACACTGAGGTGGGAAAATCCCACATGGGCCGTCCGCTGAAGGCGTTTAAGCGCTTGTAACTGTTGGTAACGAATGAGGTCGGGCCGCATTCTCGGCCTGTTACTATAGCGCTTTTCACTCGCTGCGTTTGCCAACTGCCGCCAGTATTTTATTTTGGTTGCCAAACACCCGAAACCGACAACACAAGGACAAGGAGTCGTTCTTCGACTTCTCCGGGTCCCACACACCATCTCCATTACCATGGGTCACATTTATAATTTTGGGTTAAATACAAAAATTTTAAGTTGGTAGAGTTTACAATACAGGAAAATTCCTTATTTAATAACTGGCAAATACCAATATACTGTGATTTAAAAATGTAGTAAAAATTGTTAAATTATTGGCTTCTTTTTCTCTCAAACTTAACTAAAACAATAATGCTCTAAAAACTGGTTAAAAATAGATAAGCAATAATAATTTATATAGATAAAGCAGTAACCATGTAAGGGGAGTTTTTAATTAGCTTAACACAATTAAAATTACCTATTATTAATTTTGATAAAAATATATATTTTTTCAGTTTTTTTTTTGCGTCTGTTATAACTGTTTGTTATGTATTCTACTTAGCTTTAAATATTGAATAAAATTCAACATATCCTGTTTATTAAATTAAAGCACATTGTTTTCGAATTTCTTAATGTTGATTAAAATAATTTGTAACTAACCCACTGTTCCCTTGACTGTGCCTCATATTTTTCACGTGATATGCACACCAGTCAACCAGACTAACAACAACCATATAAACCTCACCTACCAGCACCCCCAAAATTTTGGCGTAATTTTAGACATGCAGGGCAGAGTGGGGCCGCGTTGGAGAGAACTCTGCAGAGGAAAAGCCGAGTTGCCTGGAGCAATGGAGGAGTGGAGGTTGAAGCGGGGGAAGACTGTCTGCCGACTTTCGCTGGGCTTTTTAGCAATGGCTCACATGGTCCTGCTTTCTTCTATTTTGCGGTTCTATATGGTAAATAGGTATTTTATTTCTACATGCTATAAAGCAACTTAATGCAGGCAGGTCATGAGACTTGTGTACTCATCTAACAAACATAAACCCGCACTCGTGCCATTTGAATTCGAAATACCATGGGGGATTAGTAAGTTCTAGTTAATGCTTGTCGTTTAGTTGACAATTATATGGGGTAGTTTCAAGGAATTGCCTGACTGCGGTTTCTTTTTTCTTTGTGGGGTTTTGGATCGGAGCCAAAATGCTATAACTCCTTAAGTACTCAATCAAAAATCGCTCAATCCCTCACAGGAAACACATTTTTAACAGATAACACAATGTTGACTTTGATGTCGCCGCAAAAAAACGTAGCTCGCAATAGTTCAAAGTCATCAAAGTTCAATTCAATCAATTTCCAATCGCGGGCAGGTGAGGAAAGTCGGATTCCCCCTTCTAGTTGGCATTGACATTGATAATGAAATTTCAGGACATCAATGGGTGTTGTCGTCGTATCAATAACCGGGCCTCATGTCACATGCTACATGAATAAATTACGTATACGCCCTGGTGGCCAAAAAGGGGTTGCGGCAGGAAAGCAATCTGTCATGTTGCCGGTGCCCTAGAAAATCCCGTGTTACGAGCTTCGCCTCGATTTACGACTCGCTCGCCATAAACAAGCGAAGCCAACCCTTTCCTTTCGCGATAGTTTCTGCACTAACTGCTCACATCTTTTTATTGCACCATCCGCGAAACTTCCTGAGTGCAACTCCCATGACATTTGCAACGGTCGCATCCGCCGCTGTCACGAGTGCTCAGGTGGGCCTTGATTTACGGCTTGGCATTAACCCATTTACAGCGGCGTACGTGGGCAAGGAGTGGGTTAACGCATATCCGATTGCCATTTGTGACTCTATTCTATAAATAACGCATTAAAAACGGGCTTCTATTTTTTCGTGGGAAGGTTCCACTTTTATGCAGAAAGGGCTGGCAGTGAGAATGATTTATTGGGTTATTCACGTGATTTTATTGAAGTTTAAGTAATAAAGGAAATAAAAAAAAGACATTTGTTACTGGATTTAGCATAAAGCTGGGCTGTGTGTTTATTTTACAAGCCATTAAAATTATTCAGACAATATTTTAAATAAAAGGTGTATGTTTAATACTCAATGTCTACGAACTGCGTAAATTTTATCTAGTGTCTCATGTTTTTTCTAGCTGCAAAATAACTAAGGAAAGCACCGACTTAAAACCTTTTTTCATTTTGAATAACAGTGATTGTCTTCCAATGTAAAAGTTTACCAATTTGTTCGTTCTTAAACTCCAATTATTCATAAAATGTTGTTTAATGCATTTTAATACTTTAACCAAACTAAAGAAAACTAAAACTGTAAGGGATCTTCCTTTCAGACCTCCTCTCCCCGTTTTCATGTTTACCGCGTAATGTGTCGGAAAGGAAAAGTCCCATTGATTACATTTATGACTTAATTAGCGGCCTTTCCCAGCGAAGTAAGGCACCATATTAGTTTACAGCCTTGCCGTTCGCTGTCATCGCCTATTGAAGGATACGAAGGATATGGAGGAAACGGGGGTGTCGGAGGAAAAAGCTGGGTTATGGCCTCTTGCAAGTGTGCATCGCTAATTAATGCCAGGGACGTGCATAAATTTGCCAAAGAGCTGACATTTATGTCTTTCGCCATTGCCATTTAGCCATTAAAATTGATAATTGCGACACGTAGTAGTGGAAGAATATTGAAATGTGATTCGGATTTCCTTTGAGAGAATTATTTCAAGTATCACATAAGGTTGCTCTACATCAAACAAAGTAAAATTAAACAACAAAAATCAATATTTGGTTGCATATAAATTTGGAATTTTTTATACCCTTGCAGAGCAAAGGGTATTATAATTTCAGTCGAAGTTTGCAACGCAGTGAAGGAGACACCTTAGACCCCATAAAGTATATATATTCTTGATCAGCATCACGATCTGAATCGAAATCCGTCTGTACGTCTGTCCGTCTGTCCGTCTGTCCGTCGGTCCGTCTGTCCGTCTGTCTGTTTCTATGTAAACTAGTCTCTTAGTTTTGAAGCTATCGTGCTGAAACTTTCCGAAAAGTTGTGTAGTTATTGCACGCAGTATATAAGTCGGAACGAGCCGGATCGGCCGACTATATCGGATAGCTCCCATACAAGAGGTCAAAAAAATAAAGGAAAAAAAATTATTGCGCCGTTGTTTTTCATCGAATTGACTTGATTTCTTCCAGATGGAGTTTTCTAATTACTATTGAATTTTGGATTAAATTTGATCAAAATCAGATAACTCTATCATATAGCTGCCATAGGAGAGATCAAAAATATATATAGAAATAATGGCAAAATAATCATAACGTTGTTGTTTTGTATTCCACGATTCCATGATTTTTACAACATCGACTTTATGAACTACCCTTGAACCGAAAAAAAATTTCATAAAAATCGGACAACTATATCATATAGCTGCCATAGCCTTTATGTATTTTAGCCTTTATGTATTTTGTTCGACATGTTTGATGACTGCAAGGGTATATAAGCTTCGGCTTGCCGAAGCTAGCTTCCTTTCTTGTTGTAATTTAAATTAAATTTTTTAAATGGTTTTTTTTTTGGTGAAAGTGTATAATGTATAAAACACCAAATGGTGAGTTACTATCCGCAGGAGTAAACATTAAATACTTTTAATCAGTTATTAAGAAATTTCTGATTTTGCTAGAACCCTTTATTCTTCAAGTTTATTGCTGTTGTTTGTTTTTTGGTAACAAGCTTTGAAAACAGATAAGGGCATCATGTGGCTAAGAACACCACACCCCTTCAATTTTCAGACTGGAATTTGTTTAACAAATTTAAATGTAAATGTGCACAAATTTATTTTTTCTAAATATTAGAGAAAATTGGTTCTATGTCACAATTTAAAATATCATTTTGTTTTTAAATTTTAAGATTATAATTTTAATTGTTTTTCACATTCGGAGCAAGTTGCTTTTAGTTGATATCAGTGAGTTTTGTTACCTGTCTTCCGGCTCTAGGGTGCATTGCACAAAATCGATGAGGAAGTCCTCGTCAACGCTGATCTTCATCATTGGCACTGACTTTTTAGCCTTCTTCCCCTTCGAGGATTTTCTCGCCATGGCAGGATTGCGACCAAGAAGGTGTTTGTTCTAATTCCTCATTTTCGCACCGACTGAAGCGGGAACGCAACCTGCGGAACTTTCACCCGAACTCGACAAAGGCGACCGGCGAATGTGGCGCCCTTTTCACAGGACTCGATTCCTTGGGCTGTCGCTCCTCGTGTTTTGTTGTTGACACACACGTGTGTGTGGCGTCGAGTGGCACGTGGGTGAAAATAAACCCACCCACTTTCACTTTCGCTCCAAAACGTCTCACGATTTCGCGCTGCCACCAGAGCCCCGATTCCGAATCGAAATCGGTGTTCGAGTCCGATTCCTGTTCCCGCTACACATTGCATGTTAAAGCATTTAATGTTGGGCGTAATGACATGACACAAAAGTCAATATTTTGACAGAGTGTATGGCGCAGTGTGTCAACAAGTTTCTAACGCGCTGTCCCAAAAGATTTGTGGAGTACAGGTTTAAGTTAAAGCCAAAAACCTTTAATGTATAAACCACCCAGTTAATTTAATTATTAAGTGAGCTTTATATGAGCCTTAAAAGCCTCTACTTATAGCAACCCATTTAAATACTTGAATAAATAAATTTAAATAATCTCGCACTTAAAACAGAAATGTACAAAACCTCTGTAACAAACATTTTTGTTAACGAGCCTTTTCCGATACTCACAATGCAAGC